AAGCAATATATGAAGACAAATGACAACAATTCAGCACTGTAAAATCTGTGGAACACTGCCAAGGCTGTGCTAAGAGGAAAGTGTATTGCAATTACAGGCCTACCTCAGGAAAGAAGAACAATCCCATATAAGCAATCTAAACTCAAAATTAATGAGACTAGAAAAAGAACAACAAATGAGGCCCAAAGTCAGTAGAAGGTGGGACATAATAAAGATTAGAGCAGAAAGAAATAAAACTGAGAAGAGTAAAACAATAGAAAGAATCAATGAAAGCAAGAGCTGGTTCTTCAAGAAAATAAACAAAATAGATAAACCCCTAGCTGAGCTTGCCAAGAAAAAAAGAAAGTCTACACACATAAACAGAATCAGAAATGAGAAAGGAAAAATCATTACAGATACCACAAAAATACAAAGAATTATTAGAGAATACTATGAAAAATTATATGCCAACAAACTGGAAAACCTAGAAGAAATGGACAACCTTCTAGAAAAATACAACCTTCTAAGACTGACCAAGGAAGAAACAGAAAATCTGAACAGACCAATTACCAGCAACGAAATTGAACTCGTAATGAAAAACCTACGTAAGAGCAAAATCCCTCGACCAGATGGCTTTACCGCTGAATTTTATCAAACATTTAGTGAAGACCTAATACACATTCTCCTTAAAGTTTTCTAAAGAGTAGAAGAAGAGGGAATACTTCCAAACTCATTCTATGAGGCCCGCATCACTCTAATACCAAAACCAGGCAAAGACACCACATAAAAAGAAAATTACAGACCAATATCCCTGATGAACGTAGATGCAAAAATACTAAACAAAATATTAACAAACCAAATTCAAAAATACATCAAGAAGATCATACACCATGATCAAGTAGGATTTATTCCAGGGATGCAAGGATGGTACAGCATTTGAAAATCCATCAGCATTATCCACCATGTCAACAAAAAGGACAGAAACCACATGATCATCTCCATATATGCTGAAAAACCATGTGACAAAATTCAACATCCATTCATGATAAAAATTCTCAACAAAATGTATATAGGAGACAAGTACCTCAACATAATAAAGGCCATATATGAAAAACCCACAGCCAACATCACACTTAACAATGAGAAGCTGAAAGCTTTTCCTTTAAGATCGGGAACAAGACAAGGATGGACACCCTTCCCACCTCTATTCAACATAGTTCTGGAGGTCCAAGTCACAGCAATCAGACAACACAAAGAAATAAAAGGCATACAGATTGGCAAAGAAGAAATTAAACTGCCCCTGTTTGCAGATGACATGATATTGTACATAACAAACCCTAAAGAATCCACTCCAAAACTACTAGATCTAATATCTGAATTCAGAAAAGTTGCAGGATACAAAACTAATACACAGAAATTTGTGTCATTCCTATACATAACAATGAACTAGCAGAGAGAGAAATCAGGAAAACAATTCCATTTACAATTGCATCAAAAAGAATAAAATACCTAGGAATAAAAACCTAACCAAGGAAGTGAAAGAGCTATACTCTGAAAACTACAAGACACTCATGAGAGAAATTAAAGAAGATACCCATAAATGGAAACACATCCCATGCTCATGGATAGGAAGAATTAATATTGTCAAAATGGCCATCCTGCCTAAAGCAATCTATAGATTCAATGCAATTCCTATCAAAATAGCAACAGCATTCTTCAACAAACTGGAGAACATCGTTCTAAAATTCATATGGAACCACAAAATACCTTGAATAGCCAAAGCAATTCTGAGAAGGAAGAATAAAGCTGGGGGTTTATGCTCCCCAACTTCAAGCTCTACTACAAAGCCACAGTAAACAAGACCATTTGGTACTGGCACAAGAATAGACCCACAAACCAATGGAACAGACTAGAGAGCCCAGATATAAACCCAACCATATATGGTCAATTAATATATGATAAAGGAGCCGTGGACATACAGTGTGGAAACACAACAACATGTCCGGTGTTGGCAAAACAGGACAGCTACATGCAAGAGAATGAAACTGGATTATTGTTTAGCCCTATACACAAAAGTAAACTCGAAATGGATTAAAGACTTGAATGTAAGTCATGAAATCATAAAACTCTTAGAAGACAACATAGGCAAACCTCTGAATATAAGCATGAGCAACTTCTTCCTGAACGCATCTCCTCGAGCAAGGGGAACAAAAGCACAAATGAACTCATGGGACTACATCAAACTAAAAGGTTACTGTATGGCAAAGGAGACCATGAACAGAACAGAAAGGCATCCTACAGTATGGGAGAATATATTTGTAAATGACATATCTGACAAGGGGTTAACATCCAAAATATATAAAGAACTTACACACCTCGACACCCAAAAAGCAAATAACCGGATTAACAAATGTGCAGAGGATATGAAGAGACAGTTCTCCAAAGAAGAAATTCAGATAGCCAACAAGCACATGAAAAGATGCTCCATATGCTAATCAACAGGAAAATGCAAATCAAAACCATGAAATTTCACATCAGCTCACACCAGTTAGGATGGCCAACATCCAAAAGAGAAGAAACAACAAATGTTGGCAAGGATGCAAAGGGGGAACCCTCCTACACTGTTGGTGGAAATGTTAACTAGTTAAACCATTGTGGAAAGCAGTATGGAGGTTCCTCAAAAAGCTAAAAATAGAAATACCATTTGACCCAGGAATTCCACTCCTAAGAATTTATCTGAAGAAACAAGATCCCTGATTCAAAATATATGCACCCCTATGTTCATTGCAGCACTGAATAGCCAAGATGTGGAAGCAACCTAAGTGTCCATCAGTAGATTACTGGGTAATGAAGAGGTGGTACATATACACAATGGAATATTATTCAGCCATAAAAAGAAAATCCTGCCATTTGCAACACCATGGTTTGAACTAGAGGGTATTATGCTCAGTTATTGGTGAAATATAAAAATAAAGCAAAACAGGAAGAACAGCATTAGGCTCATAGACACTGAGAAGTGACTAGTGCTTACCAAGACGGAGTGCAGTTGGCGGAGGGATGGGGAGGGCGACTGCTGAACCAATGTGATGTACATTTGATTTTTAAAAAAAGGTAAATACTATTAACCTTTTGGTGTGTACATTTCCAAACATTCCTCTGTGCCTATTCATATACATATATAGATATGTGTGGGTAATTTTATCAAATTGAAGCATATTATACCTGATGTTTTATAATCTGTTGTGTTCAACCTAATGTAGATGCTATGGATATCTTTTTAGGTTAATAAATTTACACCTATACCATTATTTCTAATAATTGCATAATGTTTCCTTGTACACATTATATATATACACACATGGATATGTACATAAATTATAATTCATTAAACAGTTACCTACTGATGGACATTTAGTTTGCCTCTAACTTTCAGTTGTTCCAAACAATTTTCTGATGAATATTCTCTTTCCAAACATGTGATTATCTCTTTAAGGTAAATTCCTGTTAATGGGATTCCATCTGTTGTTAGTTGTCATTGAAGTTAGCAAGTTCATAGAGAATAATTAAAATGTAAATAAATATGTATGTATGTGCATGTATGTATAAGAGTTTGTTAATCTGTAATTTGCTCATAAAATCACTTGTTATCTTGGAAAGCAAAATAGATATAATAAAAATTTCTTCACTATCAGTTCAGATTTTGCCAGTCGTATGTTTTTATTTATTCTCGCAACTACAGGTGCTGAATTACCAATCTTCCATAAAACCACACTTAAACTGAAAGTACAAGGAATTATGGTTGGCTTTGCAGCTCTCAGTGCCTGTCGAGAAGTAAACAGACCACTTTGTTTTCTTCCAGTGGTCTTGGACAAAAGTGTCAGGGAGAAAGCTCCTTTTACTGCTTACCATTTAAATGGCATTTGAAAAAGCTCCCAGATGGAGCTATTTGAGTGCCATACTATACCAAATCAGAATGTGCAGAATACTTAAAGGCCTACAGGTTGGGTTTGTGGCATTTTTACTTGGTTTCTTACTGCCCTGTCTTGATATTTAAGAAGTGCTGTGTTGCAGAAGACATTGATGAGTAGGGCAAAGGGAGACAGTGTAGCCTGATCACTTGAGACTATTAAAAATTCTGTAGGGTTTAATGTTTTAAAGCATTTGAGTGTTAATCGTACTATCCTTTTAGAATACTAAATTGAGAATGTGCTACTCTCAAAACTCTTAAAGCAGTATTTGATAATGAAATATTTTCCTGTGCCTTTGGGTTGGCAAGCAGGTTATTAGAGGGAGTTATAGAAAAATCCTGTTACAATAATGTAAATTTCAGGTTTGTACATTCAATTTAGTTTTTTTAATCATAAACAAAAAATATATTGAGCAAATGAGTTACACAGTGGAACATAAATTTTTGTATGAAAATATTTTATCCTACTAATACAAGAAATAAAATTTTAAGTAATTTTATAATACTGTTTATATGTATTAAAGAAATGGTGTTTTTAAATGATATCTAATGGTAAGGTTTTATCAAAGTAGTACATTCATACATTTCTGGGTATATTATAAATTGCTACCCTCTGGCAATGTGACTTACATAGTTAATGACATGAATTGAATACTTCCATACTTTTTGACTTGTAGCTCCAGTTGTAAGAATTTATCTTTGGAAGACTATCTTTTATATCTATAAAATATGTAAAAATGAAAAGATTTATAGTCTGGGTACAGTAAATTTGGTAATATTTAAGATTTTTGCCTCAATTTTGACGTTACTTACTTTTAAATGAAAGACGAGAGAATAACTACCAGTAATTCTAATCTTGGGAGGTGGATTTAGGAGCAGGATTCTGAAAATATTTAAACCCACTTAATTTTAATCTATAAATTTCTGAAATCTAACTGAAATAATAGGTAATGAACTTGTTGAACATTTTAAAAATAAATCAGAAGCTGGATAAAAATGGCAAGTTATGTTTCTCCTTTTATAGTGATCACTTTTATGTCTTCTATAACAACAGGTGATCAAGAATAGCAAGACAGAAATTCCAGAGCTGGAATTATTTCCTCGTTATCTTCTCTTCCTGAGACAGCAGCCTGCCACTCGGACACAGCAGTCTAACATCTGGGTGAATATGGGTATGATGAGCCTGAGAATGTTTCCTCAGCATTTACCAAGAGGTAACTTAAGAATGCAGCAAGAATACCATGCATTTCCTTAAAAAATAAAAATCAAAAACCAAGTTGCTCAAAGTCTGGTGCCACTGTGCTATTAATACACATTCCCTTCTGCTTTCATACAGAATCAGTAAATCACTTGTGGGGCTTAGATCTATGGTCATGCACAAGACTAGATAGGGTAGAGGCAATATCTCAGCAGCAAACTGAGAAGAATTGTTCCCTTTTCTGGTTTGTAAACATATAAAAATAATAAATAGAAATAGATCTTGCATACTTTGAAAACTAGCCTTTGTAAATTATTTGCTTGACCTAAGGGTCTACCAGTCAATAACTGGTCTTTTCAACACCAGTCAAATTTCTAAGAAGTAATTTCTTTGTCAATATTATCTTTTTTGTGTGTTTTTTGGTGTTTCAGTGGTCTTTTTTGACCAAATATAACAACATTTCTCATGCTAGGTCCAAAGAGCCTTTACAAGAGCCAGAAATTGCAAAGCAGAGGATGTATATTACTTAAATGAAAGTAACACATCTACTTTGAAAAACATCAAGCCTATCAAAGTGACTACAGATAAGCTCTCATTTTAATGTATTACATGCAAAAAGTTCCTCTGATCCTGTATGAGGTTAAATTTTATTGATTGTAGGACCTGCTCTATGTTTTTGCCTTGCAAATATTTGAAATTGTTTCTTCAAAAATAATGACTTCATCCATATACGCAGTCACAGACTCCATGTTAATAATGCCGTAATGTTATTATAATTAATATAACTTAGCATGTAAGAACTACCCATGAACCCAAATCAACCCTGGAAGTACCATCCCTCCTTTAAAATAGGGTTAGTTTTATGTCTTTCTTAAAGTTTATGTTCAGGTAATACAAGGAGATTCTTACACATACTGTATCTTCAATTCTCTTCAAAAGATAACATGAGAGGCAAGATGTGTTGTACTTTTAGTAAATGTTCTTTATTAATTCTTGTGCTGATCCTAGATTTTTGCTGCTTCTATAAATTCCAATACATTTTTTGGTGCTATTCAAAAGCCCAGAATTAAGTATAATAAGTGGCTGCCTGCTTAATGAGCTATGCTATAAAAAAACTGTTTAGAATTCATATTTCTTATGTGGCTTAGGACAATGAAATCGACTTGGATACTACACTTGCAAATGCTTCTAAATCTTAGAACTGGATAGTTGGTTATGCTCCAAATTCATTCTTAATTTGAAATTTTATTCCTTACTAATTAGTTCTGAAATCAATCATTGATTTTTTGAAGTTTGTAAAAAATATGCTTTCTTGCTGTAATCTTATAACTAATCCTCTGATGTATAATTGGAGAAATTTGCTCTTTTGTTTTCTTTTTGGGATTATCTTTTGCTTGCTGATAGTAAAAAATTTGCTTTGTGTTTAAAAATTGATCATAGTTGGGTTTTGTTCTGACATAACATAGTTTTCATGTTTCCCATTGCTCAATTTATTACAACTGTTTACTGTATTAGGTTCTTGTATTCCTCTTGAAGTGACAGGTATACAAACCTTGCCTCAGTTACAACAACTTAAATGTAGCCTTTTTCACAGACAAGACTACCAGAATCATTGTTTTTTAAGTAATTTCTCAGCCTATTTTAAGTGTGTGAATTCTTTTTGGAAGCTCTAAAGAAGCAGATAATGCCAGTACTTTTCTCTACTTTGTTTAGTATGTGAAGACTCAGAGTACATTTAATAGGAGGAAAAAAGCTAAGTCATCACTGAATGGGTAGAAAACTACCTGGAATGTATAATTGTACCCTAGATGGGTTATATTGATATGTTAAGTTTATTTTTATTTTGGGTTGCTCAATAAATTCTAACCTCCTTTAGGCAGAGATGACCCTAAAGCTATAGCTTTTGTCTAGCTTTTTGGCTGAATACTTAACCAGGGTTTAGCATATTGTTTTAGCAACCTATCTTTAATTTACATAATCTCTTGTCATTTCATCTCCTCTCCTTTTAATTGTACTTGATACATTCTTCCTTTACTCTTCATTCTTTCCCCTTATTGTCACTCTCTCTCTTTCTACCTTGAACCCTTCAGGAAATAAAGGTCATGTCTCCTGTCATCTAAATGATTCTTTTCTCCCCTCCTACCTTTCAGTAGGGCAATTTTGGGAGCATGGGAACTTCTTGGTTTCACTGCAATGTCTGTTTGGCCATGTAGAATTTATGCCTACTTAGAATTTTAAGTAAATTTTTCCTGTGTGATTGTACTGATGTACCAGGAAATTAGGCTGCTTAATGACTGAGTGATGGGATTAGTAATTCAAAGACCGTTTGTTTTAAGAAAATACATCAGGTAAATCCAGTTATCCATCTGTGGAATTCAAATCCAATCCCATTTTATCTTCCCCATTCTTACATGGAGTTTTGATTTTTACTATTGAATGTGCCAGAGCTGAGGACAGAGAAGATACCAGTACCTATTGCTGATGTTTGCCATTCTTCTTGGGATCCAAATAATGCCAGTTATTTGGGCTTCCATAATTTTTTCCCTCTTTTGAGTGGAAGTCCAGAGTTAAGGCTTTGGATTCACTCTAAGATACTTCAGTCTCTTGTCTTCATTTTAAAGCTTCTTAATTAATAAAATTATTAAACCTGTAATTCTCTTTTCTCATCATTATTTCCTAAAACAGTATGTTTCCCATTGCTGAGGGGGTGCTTTTTTTTTTAACATCTGCCTTTTCCTTATTATGATTACTACGACCATAGGAAATGTACCTTCTCCGAATGCACCATTAAAGCGGATTTTAGCCTATACAGGCTGTTTCAGTCGAATGCAGACCATCAAGGAAATTCACGAATATCTATCTCAGAGACTGCGCATCAAAGAGGAAGATATGCGCCTGTGGCTATACAACAGTGAGGTAAGCATGATCTCAGAGTCATGAAAGTCCTGATTAAGTGTTAAATCCATATTTCATGAGTATGGGATTTTGTCTATAGTAATTATGCTGAAAGACATGTCTGGGATCTCAATGAAAACTTCAACTTTTAAAGTACTGTATACATACATGTAAAATTGGTCACCTGAAATACATAACAACAGTTCATCATCATGAGCCGTACCATTTTTAAAAGGTGATTGTTAGAAAGTAACAGCAAATATCTCCATTTTTTTTTAACCTAGATAGTTTATGGATTTAAGGTAATTTATTTACACGTTAAAAAATCCAAACAATGCAAAAGTATATAGGGAAAATTCTTCCTTCCTGTCCTCTGACCTTTATTTTCCACTCTTCTGTAAGGCATTTATTAATTGCTTATATGGTCTTCCTAACACATGTAATATATTTTTAGACTTTACTCCTAAATTGGATCCTAAGTAGTTTAACCAGTTCTCTATTCCCTAGTTGCTTCTTTCTTACATTATCATTTGATCACCATTGAGAGGCAGTATGGTAATATTTTTACTAGCACAGCCCCTGGAGCCATGGTGCCAGGAGTTGAATTCTGGCTCTGCCACTTGTTAGTTGTATAACCCAGGGCAAGGCATTTAATTCTGTCTCAGGGTTCTCATGACTAAATGGGGAAGTATCTCCCATAGGTTAGTTGTAAGGATTAAATGAATTAATTTTGTGAGTACTTCAGACAGGGTGAACATAAACAAAAATGTATAGTTCTACTGAATGACATTTTGGTTTTACATTTTTGATTCCTAGTAAGTAATCAAGTTCCATCTTGATCACAAGTACATTTACTGAATTACATACCAGGTACTGAAGAACATTTCTGTAAGCTCTTTGGAAAATCTAAATCTCGGTGAATTTTATGTGATAAGTCTACTTCTGGTCTCCCCAAAATTCTATATAACTCTGTTTTAGAGATAACAGAGTATATGTTAATAAAGTATAGAGTGCTTTCCCTCCTTTTACAAATTTAAATTACATATTTCTGAACAACTACAGTATACCACATATCACATGAGTTATATAATAACATTTTTAATTGTCACTTTGATTTCTGTATTTGTTTCGAGTTTAGTCATGAAATTAACAAAATTATTTCTCCACTTCATACACAGAATTACCTTACTCTTCTGGATGATGAGGATCATAGATTGGAATATTTGAAAATCCAGGATGAGCAGCACCTGGTAATCGAAGGTACAAGATAGAAGCATACATCCTATTAGCTTTTTAGGGAAAAAATCTAAAGATTTAGTTACTCAGTAATAATCCATTTTATAATTGTTCCAACTTTTATTTGATCATTATATTCCTTATAATAAAGAAACCCATTAAACCCATATGTAATCCTATATACTATTTAGATTGCTTTAGCAGAAAAATATGTCTACATTCATTGGCTGGCAAGGGGTGGAAGTGGTGGGTGGAAGCAAGTGAATTCAATTTTAAGTTTACAAAGTATCTTAAAATTTCCAAGCTGCCTCTTTGAGTTTGAGTTAAAACTAACTTTTACACAATGGCACAGGCTTTGTAATCAACACTTTTCACTCACCCACAAAGCTTACTTGTGTATTCACACAGAATTAGTACCTGCCTGCACATATCATTGAAAACTTAAAGTATGTCTTTTCCCATCAGTGTGCGTGGAAACATTGCTAGCTGCCTTTGTGTTAAAATGAATAGAATACTCTGACTGTTGTCACAATTTTAAAAAGAATTGTAATGGTTCTAATGTATTAATTTAAGAGCTTTAATTACCTCTAGAGGTGGTTGAGTATAATTTTAGTTCAGGTAGGTGATTGAGGGAATAGCTTACCAATTAATTCTAAGCAAGTGACTATAAAGTCTCCACTATAAAGAGTTAAAATGGTCTTAGAGTCAGTTACTATAATTAATTTGGTGGGGGGTTGTTTTTGTTTTTGTTTTGTTTTTTCCCCTAATTTTTGATTAAGAAGTAAGAACTTGTTAGTTTTTTAAACAGAAGTAGTTGAATGGGTATGATTTGAACGGTTAAGAAATTAATACATTCCTATCTCTGTCTTCCCAGTTAGAAACAAAGATATGAGTTGGCCTGAGGAAATGTCCTTTATAGCAAACAGTAGTAAAATAGATAGACACAAGGGTAAGTCTCTAGCATATTATTTTCAATTTAAAGAGATAATCTTAAATTATTTTTTTCCTTCTTTCATCTATTAAAATGTTAACAAACCTTTTGACTTCCCAGTTCAACAGTGATTAGGCAACCTTTTATTTTTATTTTTCCTGAGGCATCAGATTTCTTTCTAACCTTGTAATTAAATGATTTATATTATTTAAGACATAATACTGGGAGAGAATTGTTTGAATTCTAAAAACCTATCATAACAATTAAAGAGAATCATTGATGTAGATTACATATGAGTGTGGATTATGATGATTGCCAGTGATACTAATTGAAAAACCTCTACTTTAGCATTGCAAAACCAGAAAGAGAAATATTAGTTGGTGTTAGCTGTTGAAAAGACGTATAAAAATTGTTGCATTGAATACAAGTAACTGTTTGATCTGTAACATCTTACTACAGGTAGTAAGGCTTTGTTTCTCATATTATTTGTTCCAGTTCCCACCGAAAAGGGAGCCACAGGTCTTAGTAACCTGGGAAATACATGCTTCATGAACTCAAGCATCCAGTGCGTTAGTAACACACAGCCACTGACCCAGTATTTTATCTCAGGGAGACATCTTTATGAACTCAACAGGTAATCTTTCTTTGGCCTCTTTTTGTAATTTTTATATAAACAAGAATCACCTAACTCTCCTCTTTCTCCACCTTGGGGGAGAAATAATGAGAAAAGTCTTATCTCATTTGCCCTGTATAATATGAAATAAGGCCAAGGTTACTTACTTTAAAAAGATATTTTGGTATGAAAAAATAGGTGCTGGGCATTTCAGTACCCATGTAATTGTGATGTATGAAAAAATAGGTGCTGGGCATTTTAGTACCCATGTAATCTTTGGCAACAAATTTTCCTCTCAAAATTCTAGGACAAATCCCATTGGGATGAAGGGGCATATGGCTAAATGCTATGGGGATTTAGTACAGGAGCTTTGGAGTGGAACTCAGAAGAATGTTGCTCCATTAAAGCTTCGGGTAAGCAGGTTAAAATAATATAAAAGTATATAAGGCTTAAGTAGTTGTTTAAGTAATTATTTTTCTCTACATGTTTTTTATGTTTAGCTCTTTAGTTTTAGTTTAATGTTTTTGGATCCTTTTCTAGGAATAAACAAAATGTCAAGTACCTATATAAAGGCAAAATACTGCTATAGATGTAGTGGGTAGGAAAAGATCAAAAGCAGTATAAATTTTATGTCATTCATTTCACTAATTTATCAAATATCTTACTTGCATATGTAGTAAATCTTTTGTTAGTCCTCCACTATCAGGAGTATTTATTCTAACAGAGCTCTGAGTCTACTTAATGATACTCAATACATTTTTAACATTGCTAAGATAATTAGCTCTACCTGTAAAATTTTAAAAAGTAGTAGAAAGAATGTAATTAATGGATATAAATTTTACATTAATATTATATGTTGTGAAGTTAGGATTATTTTTTATCTTTAAAGACAACACAAAAACTTTTTAGGTTAAAAATAATAATCATAATTATAATTGCTAAAAATCTAACTACTTAACCAGGTACTACCCTAATTACTTTACATGTATTAACTCATTTAATCTTCTAACTGGCCCTATAATGTAAAGCAATGTTATTCCTATTTTATGGTTCAGGAAACAAAAACTCAGAGCAGTTAAATAGCTAGATCAAGATTGCAAGTTAGTTTGTAAGTCCTGTCAGTTAAACATAAGGCTATTTTGCCTCTAATAAAAAGTTAGAATTTAACAAGACTAGAAAAGTTAACAGTAAAAGAAACATTGTAACAGGAAATCTTTCTGTCTTAACTGTCTTAAATAATGTCTTTGTAATATGATACTGTCTTTGCTTATATGATACTGAACTGGGAAGCAGTATTGGCCAAAATACTTTTTTTTTTGGTTATTTGGAATTAAGATTAGAAGCACTTCATGATTGTCCAAATATATTTGCTAAAATAGAGATACACTATTATACTATACATAATACTATTCTATTTACTAGAGACATAATATTGTGCTCTTTACCAGCTTTTTACCTTCTTATAATGCCTCTGATGAGAATTATAGGGCATGTTCATTCCAAATATTGTGGGATAGAAATAATGAGTTTGATTCCTCTTATATTTATAGTGGACCATAGCAAAATATGCTCCCAGGTTTAATGGGTTCCAGCAACAAGACTCCCAAGAACTTCTGGCTTTTCTCTTGGATGGTCTTCATGAAGATCTCAACCGAGTCCATGAGAAGCCGTATGTGGAACTGAAGGACAGCGATGGGCGACCAGACTGGGAAGTAGCTGCAGAGGTTTGTCAATTTGAGTTTCTAATGTAAGCAATAGATAAAATGTTCTCTCCACAAATGTGTATTTCACAACTGAAGTGCTAACTAAACTATTCTGTGATCAGAATTTTACTGTGGAAGTGAAGTAATTTATATTTCTCTGCTTAATTCTTGTGCAGTAATGCCAAAACAAAGCATCTTTAAAGAAAATAGAAAAATGTTGCCATTTAAACAATGCAGACTTTTGAGAGAGGATGTAGAATAATTATTCGGTACAACTTAAAGGATCTCCATTGCTAAAGTAATGTGTACAGCAATCAATAGGCATGTTTTATATGCTTTTTAATGGGCGAAGAACTTTAATATTCATCATTGTTACCATGATTATAACAAAGAAAAAATAGGGTTTTCCACCTGAATTTAATGTCTTATTGGTTGAGCAGAAAGACTAACATTCTATTCAATAACTGGTTTTCTCCAGTATCTCAGTAAGTAATACATTTTAAATTATATATCTGAATTGTAAATTTTAGGCAGAAGCTTTTATATTTTAACTGAGAAAAAGGATTATATTCTTGACATTTTTAAATCCAGTGTTTTTAACCAGTTTCTTTGAATTTGTGTAGAAATATTTATCTTTTAAATTTTGGGGAAAAAAAAGTTCTCTTATCTTTTTCCTTGTTAGGCCTGGGACAATCATCTGAGAAGGAATAAATCAATTGTTGTGGATTTGTTCCATGGGCAGCTGAGGTCCCAAGTTAAATGCAAGACATGTGGGCATATAAGTGTCCGATTTGACCCTTTCAATTTTTTGTCTTTACCACTACCAATGGACAGTTATATGCACTTAGAAATAACAGGTAGGTCAGAAAATTCTGAAAAATTATTTAACTCCATTGTCTTTTACCTCATTTAAGCAGCCTGAATTTTTAAGTACAGTTGACCTTTGAACAACATGATTTGAACCATGGTAGGTTCCCTTACACACAAGTTTTTTTTCAGTAAATATATTAGACAATTTTTTGGAGATTTGTGACAGTTTGGAAGGATATTTTCTTATCTCTAGCTTACTTCATTGTAACAATACTATATATAATACATACAGCATACAGGATACGTGTTCATGTTATTGGTGAGACTTCAGTCAACAGTAGGCTATTAGTAGTTGTTTTTTTGTATCCAAAGTTACATGCAGATATTCAACTGTATTGGGTTAGGGGGGTCAGCATCCCTACCCCACGCCATTGTTCAAGGGTCAACTGTATAGTCATTTATTCATAATGAATTCTCATAAAGATTGGTAGTCAGCATGTTATAATCTAGCAGTCTAATTTCAGGCATGATTTGAGTTTTGCAAGACTTGAAATGTGGGTCCATTTTTGTGCCCATTGATTCCTCTGTTAGTTTCAAACATGCCAGAAACTCTCTCTAAAATCTTGCGAAGTGTGAACACATAGATGTTCACACTTCTATATAATATGAACATCCAAAAGAATTATTTCAATCAATGGTATCCCCTAAGTATACCATCTGTTGTAGAGTTTACATATTAAATAAAAATTCTAGCCTGAAATCGTTGCTGTTTCCAAGTGTCTCTCTCTCTCTCTCTCTCTCTCTCTCTCTCTCTCTCTCTCTTTCTCTCTTTCACACACACACAAACACATACAGTGTAAAGCTTTCAATAAACCTCCATTTTACTGATAAAAGATCTTTTTTCTTTACTAGTTATTAGGTTGGATGGTACTACCCCTATACGATATGGACTAAGACTAAATATGGATGAGAAGTACACAGGTTTAAAAAAACAGCTGAGTGATCTCTGTGGACTTAAATCAGAACAAATCCTTCTTGCAGAAGTACATGGTTCCAACATAAAGGTAGTATTCACTATTTCTAGGAAACCCTTGATTCTATCCTTTAAAAATCATAGTTTTCTCAACTATGTAAAATGGCCAAGGGAGATGTTAAAATACAACAAAAACTAAACAAAAATGTTGTCGTTTTCCATCTCAGAAACTTAAAAGGGTTGTCTTCAGAATAAAGGAGTGATAATGGTGTTGTTATTTTTAAAGAAGGGAAATATGTAAGCTCAAGGCTCCCTACATGGAGTTACCAAGCTGTGTCACTACAAATATAGGTTTCCCCTAGTGACTGTTGCTGCCATACTTGACAGCTCCTCTGCATTACCACTGTCAATGGAATTATTCCTGGGTTAAAGTACTGTACTGTATTTTTAGAAGTGTGCTTTTAGTATTTTTTTAACACACTAGGAAGTTAGAGAGTAAAGACAAATTGACACAAAACAGTTCTTCCTGCATACGAGTGGAGAAACAAGCTATTTAGTAAATACACTGCCTACCCTAAATTGAGCTCCTACCATTGGTATTGTTTATATTCATCTTTCGAGTTTCTGAACAAACTCCTACCTCTTCGATATTTTTCTCATATGTAATGCAAAGGTGAGATCTCTTTTGAGGGTTTATAATTTAGATGCTTGAAATGAAGGACAAAAAACTAAGTCAATTAATTATATACAACATCCTTCCTTTGGAAAGGGATAACAGTTTTGTCACTGAGATTAGTTTTCAATTAGTTTATCAAGCTTTCTTTCATCTTTTAGTTATTTGAGAAAAACCATTCAGTCTCCTTGTTTGTTTTACTGATGAAATAATCTAAGAAATTGCTTCAAATAGTATCACAGATGATTTTCCATTTAATCTGAAAATCTCCTGCCTCTCATCTTGCCACTTTTTCTGTAGAATTTCCCTCAGGACAACCAAAAAGTACGACTCTCAGTGAGTGGATTTTTGTGTGCATTTGAAATTCCCATCCCTGGATCTCCAATTTCAGCTTCTAGTCCAATACAGACAGGTAAGACAGAACTAGAGTTCCTTCTCATGATTTCAGTCTTAAATATTGGTCTAAGGATTGTCATTCTTTTTATGTTTGTTTGGGCTAAGGGTATTAGAAAAATAGAATTTTGGATCCTAAAGGAAACCTTGATGATCATTTGGCTCAAATTCCTCATTTTATAGATGAAGAACCTAAAATTCAGAGGAACTAAGTGATTAAATTAGATAGATAGTTGTTAGTAAATCTACCACTAGAATTAAGACCTCTTTTAAAACTATTTTATCTAATATTAACATGGCAACAGATGGTATAAGAAGAATATACTATCAGAAAAACAAAACAATGAATATAACTATAAAAGAATCTAGTTTATCTAATGTTACCTGTGATTTAATATGGTCATCCAATGAATCTTTCTGACTACTAATATAGTTTGTCATTCTTCTTTATACTGCTGATACCTAGGTTCATTCCCCAATTACAAAAGGTTTCAGAGAGAATGAGACTCCTCTCATAGACACTTAATAGATAAGTACTAATGGTGGATTGGTGAATGATTTAATAATGCTTTTCTGTTTAGATAATTACTGTCCAACAGAACTCTGCAATGATGGAAATTTTCTATAATCTTTGCCATCCATTACAGTGTCCACTGGTCATATGGACTATTGAGCACTTGAAATGTGGCTAGTGAGGCCAAATCTAAAACTACTCTAAAAAAATCTGTCTTGGGACTTCAGTCTTAACACTTTTTTAGGGGAATGGAGAAATCAGTTTTTAGAGGAAAGGAAAAAGAAAACAAGTGGTAGAATGCATGCCAGAACATGGTACAGATAAAGGATTTTGGCAAAAATTCTGTTTACACTTCCCAGCAGTTACTCTTGCTTTATCATTTAGTCATAAGTTTGAGTTATAGAAGTAAAATATGAAATTAAAATCTTCCAAACAATCTAGAATTATTATTTGAACTATGATTTCTCCCTGTCCTTTATTAAAAGAGACTGTCAGAGGTCTGCGTGCCCATGATATTTAAGAAAAGAGCAAAGATAAAGGCACCATAAGCTTATATTGCTGTACTTATCTTTGTAGATTTCTCCTCTTCCCCATCTACAAATGGGATGTTCACCCTAACCACCAGTGGGGACCTGCCACGACCAATATTCATTCCCAATGGAATGCCAAACACTGTTGTGCCATGTGGGGCTGAGAAGAACTTCACAAATGGAATGATGAATGGTCATATGCCATGTCTTCCTGACAATCCCTTTATGGGCTACATCATTGCGGTCCACCGAAAAATGGTTAGTTTAAAAGTTAGGCAAGTTAACTGCTAGTTTTGCCAGTGTCATTTGTGAAACAGCCATTTTCTACCTTTGCAACATCTTCATTGTGTTCACTGTCAATATGTTATGTATGCTATTGTAAGTGATTGGTGCCAGGATTTATCTTACGTGATAGTCTATGTATAAAGTGATATTCCTTATTCATATATTAAGCAGCAACAGGTTAGCCAGTGCTTCTGAATACTACCTTCTCTAAAGTTTATGTCTCTTACATGTTCATGTAGGCATGTACATCTTTTTCTCTGCCTTGTAAGCACGAATGCCTTTGGAGAAGGTTTTGTTCGTGAGAAGCAAGAATGTTCTTGGGCAGGACAAGTTGTTTCCTAGGATTGCTGTAACAAATTACCATAAACTTGGTGGCTTAAGAAAACAGAAATTAATTTTTTCACAGTCACAGAGGCCAGAAATCTGAAATCAGGGTGTCAAAAGAGCTTCAAAGGCTTTAGGGAAGAATCCTTCCTTCCTTTTCCAGCTTCACAGGCATTCCTTAGCTAGTGGCTGCATAACTCCAACATCTGCCTCCCTTTTCACATGGCCTTCTTCTTCCCTGCTTCTCACTGATGAGAATATTTGTCATTGGATTTAGGGGCCATACAGATAATCCAGGATGATTTTACCTAAAAATCCTCCACTTTATTACCTATATATAAACTGGTTTTGCCAAATAAGGTCACAGTCACAAATTCTGTAGGTTAGGATGTAGACATATCTTTTGGGAAGGCCATCATCCAATGTACAAAAATCAAGTACCTAGAAATGAACTTTAGAAAAAAATACGCAAAGCATCTATATAGAAAATAATAAAAACATTATTGATAAAAATTAAAGAAGACTCAAATATTTGAAGGAATAGACCATACTCATGGATTAAAAGACTCAATATTTCAAAGATACCAGCATTAGGCAAACTGATCTACAGATTCAGTGCATAATCCAATAACAGTGCTAATTCTATGTATGCTTATGTGCATATAAATTGATAAGTTAATTCTAACATGTGGAAGTACAAAGCACCAAAATAACTAAGAGTTATTGAAGAACAAAATGTGAGGAAGGAATTGAGATACCAGATAGTGTGATTTATTTTATAAAATGATGATACTTAAGATACTGTGATATTGGCATGAGAAAAGACAAATAGACCAATGAAACTGAATAGAGAGCCCAGGAACAGGTTCATACACATATGAACACTTAACTTATAACAGAGATGGCATTGGAGAGCAGTGAGAGAAAGACAGTTTTCTCAGTAAATGGTGCTGGGATAATTGGATATCCATTTGAAATTTGACATCTACTGCTTAACCACACAAAAATAAATTCCAAGTGGAGTATAGAACATCAAAGTAAAACAGTAAAACAGACCCTGGAAGATAATACATCCATGACCTTGGTGTGGGGAAAGCCTGCTTAAACAGGATACAGAAAGCACTAACCATAAAGGAAAAGATTGATAAATGGGACATCATTAAAATTTAAAATGTTAGTTCTATCAAAAGATACCATTAAAAGAGCAAAAAGGCAAGCCTCAGAGTAGAAAATGTTTTCAACTCATAAAACCAACAAAAGGGGTCAATCCAGAAAACATTAGGAGCTCCTATAAGTCATTAAGGGAAAAACAATTCAATAAAAAATGGTTAATATTTAAGTAGGCACTTCATAAAAAGAAAATCCCAAGTAGCCAGAAACCATACAAAGAAAATGCAATTAGAACAACCTATGTTATCACTGCGAATCCACCAGTGTAAGCTAAGTGAATAGCTAAGATTAAACAGGTTGACAGTGTTGGTAAGGATAACTGAGTGAACTCTCATAAACTGCTGATAAGAGTGTAAATTAACTACTTTGGAAATAGTTTTCTAGTTAAAGATAATCTATTCCCCTCTTAAGTAGCCAGCAAACAGATATGTGTACCAGGAGATACATACAAAAATATTCATTGTAGCATTATCTCTAATAGCCCAGAGCTGAAAACACAAAATGAAAACATTGTATATACATTAGTACTAGAAAGGATAAGGAAGATGAGACATAGTCACATAATAGAATATTATACGGCAATGGAAATGAATGGATTTATAGTTACAACAAACATAAATGAATCTCATAAACATGTGGGAAAGAAGTCATACACAAAATAAATAGAAAGTATATGATTCTATTTATAAATAACTTGAAAAACAGGGAAAATGAAATTTACTGTTTGTTTATTACATAAGATGTAAAACTATTAAAAAGGAAGTGACTACCATAAATCGAGAAAAACTGTGTTACCCTTAGAAGAAGGGAAGAATTTGTAATTGGGAGGAAGCAGAAAGGAGGATTTGGGAGTGCTGGCCATATTCTGATTCTTGACCTGACTGGTGACTACACAGGTGTTTGCCTTGTGATGATTCTTTAAGATGTATTTTTCCCCACCTTTGAATTAGTAACTCTTGACTTAAGAATGAGTTTTGACCATTTGGACAATGTTCTGTGGGCCATGCTGTAAACAGGATTGTATAAGCAGACAGCATAGAGAATTAAGGGATACATTTGTGACTTGTAATTATCTTTAAGCACAGCTGTAACTGATTCCATCAAAATAATAAAAATTAGGTGTTTATTAGGTTAAAATAACTGGGTGATTCATGTATTTCCCCATGTCTTTTTTTATCAAGCATTATCAGATCATATATTAAGAACTCTGATGTATTTCCTTTTCTCTTTCTTAGAAAACAACTCTCATCAATTGTCATATACATATTATATTACAGAAAGTGCTTAGTAAGTGCTAAAGCATTATATAGTACAGGTTTCTGTAATTATAGACCATAAAGTCACATTGTTAGCTCTAAATTTTCACCTCCTAACCAGTCCCTATTTGTAGTTTTCTTCATGATCTAACCAGCTATTTTTGGGAATGCCTAAAATTGATTTTACATCTGCTTGTCCCAAATCAACTCCGTTTTCCTATTATTTCTGGGAAAGGCAACACCATTCTTCTATGCTAAAGACTAAAGCCTGGAAGAGTTCTTAGATATTTTTTTCCCTTTTCTTTTAAAGCCCTATATTCAATATATTACTATGCCCTTTAATTTCTTCTTTCAAAATACTACTTGAATTTACCATTACTTCTTCATTTCAATGCCACCTTCTTCTTCCTGACCCTTTTTTATCTCAATTGAATTACTTTAAAAGTAGTTAGTTTTTCTTCTACTCCCTTCCACAAGATAGAAAAAGAAGAGGAATAAGGCAAGACAACACAGGCAAGAATATTGAGAGAATAAAGGAAGAAGTAGAAAAACAGTGTATTGACACAACTAAAGGACAAGTCAGTTAAAGAAAAAATAGAGAAAGAAGTGGTTACTTGTGCCAGAGAGGTCGAAAAGAATGAGAACTGGAAAGTTTGGCAGTCTAACCAAGTAAAGAAATAGGGCAAGAATTTTTCACAGTTAGATCAAGGAGATTTTTTAGAAAAGAGAAAAAGTTGTTAGGAGAGGACAACAGGAAAATTTGTGCAGTAAAGCTGGGAGCATTATCCTATCAAGAATTGAGTGGGTATGGGCCCTAGGATACTAAGAATTACCTTCAAGAGGATGAAAATTGTGTGTGTTTAGAAGAGATACACTAAGGAGAGTAGAGGAGAGAGGTTGTTACTTAAATCTCATTTATTTAGTAAAATAAGTCATCAGATAAGAGTTGGAATGGAAGAAAGAATCTAAAAACTTAGATTCGTTCTTCTCTCCTTAATCTTTAAGTTTTTAGATTCTTAAAAAGTAATTGTTCTAAACTTTGTCCACATTTCTGTGTGTCTTATGACAATACTGACACATGAAAGAGGGCCTTAAAGTCATCTGTTTAGCTAAAGTTTAAAGAATAACAGCAAAATAAAATGAGAATCTGAAATAAAAGTTTTTTCATTTAGAAACTAGCTAACCCTTAGTGAGTTAATAAGTTGTTGATTTTGCTTCTCTAACTACTACTTAAAGTCCAAACTTAATTAAATGTCCAGGTGCTCAGCAGCTCTTATGAGTACTTCTGAACTTCCTTATCAACCTTTCTATTACACTAAACTTCTGGGGATTTTTTGTTTTTGTGATTAGTTTTTTTTTTTTATTAAGGTATCGTTGATATACAATCTTACGAAGTGAAGCTTTCACAGGAGCAACATGGTGGTTACTACATTACATTCACCCATATTATTGAATCCCCTCCTACACCCCATTGCACTCATTGTCCATCAGCTTAGTAAGATTCTATAGAGTCACTACTTGTCTTCTCTGTGCTATACTGTCTACCCTGTGACCCCCCTACATTATGTGTGCTAATCATAATGACCCTTAATCCCCTTCTCCCTCCCTCCCCACCTGCCTCCCCTAACCCCTGCCCTTTGGTAACCACTAGTCCCTTCTTGGAGTCTGTGAGTCTGCTGCTTAAACTTCTGTTTTATTAAGCAACCATTTCTATCCTAATTCTGTGCAGTATCTTTATATTAAGGAATAGCATGAAAATCTTAATATACCAAAAATAAATATTTTTAAAGTTTACCTTTTATTCTTTCATGTAATTAAAAAATAGAAAAGACTAAGGTTACTTCACTTTTAGGAAGGTGGGTAAGTCATTACAAAATTAAATGACTGGATTTCACAAGTTTCCAAAAGTTTGGAAATTGCTGCTCTAATGACAGCTATCAATGGCTTATTAGAAAATTGCATTTTGAGAGTGTTTTGTTTACTGGCATACTTTATAATATAACGGGTTTTAATTGCTTCAAAGCCTTCAGCTGTGAAACTATTACTAGTTTTTATATATGATCCAGTGTGTGAGAGAAGAGTTTATCAGAGTAAATACTTTGAAAATATTAAATGTCAAAAACCCAAGTGTGATAGACAGCAACTCTGAAATAGGCAGTACCTCAGCCTTTCAGTGACACCAATTTAAATAACCATTCTCTTCATATTAATAAAAGTTGGTTCTATAAATAAAAAGTGTGATAGTGACTATTTTGAAAATGGTAGTGATGCTTGTTATTGGCAGTCTTAGACTGCAAGGGTGGAATCAGAGGCCTATCTTCTCAGCTCTCTCTTCTCTTGTTTGTACACATAGATGAGGACAGAACTGTATTTCCTGTCATCTCAGAAGAATCGCCCCAGCCTTTTTGGAATGCCACTGATTGTGCCATGTACTGTGCATACTCGGAAGAAAGACCTGTATGATGCGGTTTGGATTCAAGTATCTCGATTAGCCAGCCCACTTCCACCTCAGGAAGCTAGTAACCATGCTCAAGATTGGTAAGTTCAGGGGATCAGCCTAGATCTGTAGTTTCCAAACTCCAGAAGAAGAATATGTATGAATTCTGTGTGGCTTATAGGACCCATTCCATGTCAGATTAATCATTCATTGAAGAACCATCCAGAGAACATATAATTCAACCATATGGTCTTATCTTTTGAGTAAGAGAGACTTTTAGCTTCCTTTCAACACCTAGACATTCTAGTGTCTGATAATCTGTTCATTATCTAATCTCTTATCTAAAGTCCTCCTGCTAATGCTTTAAATGCTTCGGGTAATATCCTTGATTTCTGTTATTGTAAATAGAGTGTGAATTCACCAGGAAGTTTGTATCAACTGAACCCTCTGAAATTCATAATGGGAGCAATAGTGTGCATAGTTATACATGAACTCTGAAAAACTCATGCCAAAGAAATGATTTGGTTGGATTATTTCCATACTGTGTCATTTTAACGTAGAATCATTTCATAAGTCTAGGTAAAGAAAATAAACACCTGTTTTCTTTCCATTCCTCTTTCTGCTATTCCGTTGGATTAGTGAATGTATTTACTTTTAAGAGTTGTTGGGATTGTGATGGCCTTATTTATAGTTCATCTTAATTACTGATCATTTTCTTATTGTGCAAGTGAGAAGTCTGCTTCTGTGTTAACTGAGTAAAGAGTTCTTTGCTAATAGGTTATTTGCTAGGGTACAGGTCTTTTGATGATTAGGATAAGGCTTATGGTAAATTAATCTTAAAGGAAAACTGCAAATAATACAAAAGCAAGTTAGTTGAGGATTGTTGTGTTTAGTAAAAATGACAATAGGGCAAGATTAAATTTTAAGTGAAAGTCTGATTGATTTAAAGAGCTTCCAGATGAGGGCTTTTCCCAGGGCATGCTAATGAATTGGATATGGACTAGGAGAGAAAGAGGAATCCAAGCTATGTTTTTAGCCTGAGCAATTGTTTGTCAATGGTGGTACCATTTAATGAAATGAGGAATACCAGAGAAGGTGTAGGTTTTAGCGAGATGACAGAAATCAAGTTAAATTCAAGATGTGTGTTACACTTTCAAGTGGGAAATAGACTTAAGTATCCTTTGCTGGCGATGTCATCAACAAACAGTTGACATTTAAAACCTTTAGACCAGATGATATGTACAGAATAAGAGTTAGAGAAGATGCCCAAGATCTAATTCCTGATGCATTCCAACATTTAGAGGTTGAAAATGGAAGAAGAGGCAACAAAGGAGACTGAGAAGTAATCAGTGATATAAGAAGAAAATCAGGAATGAGATGTGTCCCATAAGTTAAGTGAAGGAAATGTTTGAAGGATTCATTAGTTTCAAATGATACAATAAGAGGATTGGGCATTGATGACTGGATTTGATTTTTTTTTTTAAAGGCAAAAACTGGAAACCTTTGGTGACCTGTGCAAAAGCTGTGTTAGTGGAGTGATGGAGATGAAGGCATGGAGGTTAGAGTAGGTTAAAGAGAAAAATAGTCCTGCAGACATTAAAAAGATAGGGCTTACATTTAGAGAGAGCACACTGAAGTATGTATGGATGAAAAGGATAAAAGGTCTCTGCTTTTCTTCAAGTGATTCGAGTGGATCACAATAACCACGAGGTGGAAACAACCCAAATGTCTATCAACAGATGAATAGACAAGCAAAATGTGACATATCCATATCGTGGAGTATTGCTGAGCCATAAAAAGGAATGAGGTTCTCATACATACTGCAACATGGATGAGCCTTGAAAACAGTATACTAAGTGAATAAGCCAGAAGGACAAATATTGTTATGATTCCACTTTCATGAGGTATCTCAAACAGGCAAATTCATAGGCAAACTGTAAATTAGAGGTTATCAGGGTCTTGGAGGAGTAGAGAAGGGAAGTTATTATTATTTAATGTGTACATATTTTCTCTTTGGGAAGGTGAACAAGTTTTGGAGATGGATAGTGGTGATGGTTGCCTAACATTGTGAATGTACTTAGTGCCACTGAATTGATACAAAAAATGGTTAAATGGTAGATTTTATGTATATTTCACCATGATTTTTTTTAATGGGATAGGAGAATCTAGTGGATTTAGGAAAGAGTATAGCTAAAGTGAGAGTGGCCAAGAATTAATGATTATTATAGTTTGGTGGTGAACACTTGGGGGTTCATTGTACAATTCTGTATTTCTGTGATTGCTTATGTGAGTGAATTTGAAAATTTATATTAAATGAACAAATTGCTGGAATCACAGATCTATACAAAGGATGATTATTTTCAGGGACAGTGGATAAGGAGAAAAGTGAGAATTTAAGGGCAATTAGAAGTTTCTCTTGGGTCAAAGAATTGTTAGAGAAGTGATACATGACTAAATGATTCAAGAAGACAAGAAATGGTTGTTGCAAAGTATGATATTTGGAATTGAGATTTTTTTGGAGGTGGTAAAGTCCTTATGGTTTCATTACTTTCAGCAGCCATGTAATAGCCACTCCCAATTGCCAAATGAGCCATGAAATATACAGCTCATATGTTAATATTATTTGCATTGCCTCTTATGGGGACAAGGATGAATACATTTTTTAAAAGTTGGAGGATTCACAAAGTTATCTTGCAGTTAAAAATCATTACTCTAAAAATGTCTGTTGCTTATAGCTTTGAAAAGTTAGGAAAAGGGGTTCCTAGCATGCACCACATCAAGTATTCTTATTAAAGAACACTCCTAAATATGGATAGTTAACTCCTCTAAAAATGATTACAACCTCTCATCCTTCTGTGGTGTGTCAGTGTTCTTGTCATAGAAACATCTAATTATTTTGGCTTCAGGTGAATTTAATCTTCTAATGTAATTAGAGCTGAAGATATTTAGTGTTTGATTTCATGATAAGCTTATCTTATAAAATTTGTATGGGCCACCTGGACTGTCTCAGAGACATCTGGCAGTCTACAGTGTCTACTCTTTTGGAAGCAGGGATACATGGAAGCCCTGAATGTGGTTGACAAATGCCCCTTCCTACGGTTACTTCAAGAAAAGATGAAAAAGAGTTGAGAGCTCAAATCAGAAATGATTCTTACACTGTTTGGTTTACGTTCTGTTTCAGTGATGACAGTATGGGCTATCAGTATCCATTCACTCTCCGAGTTGTGCAGAAAGATGGGAACTCCTGCGCGTGGTGCCCATGGTATAGGTAAAGTGACCTTTTGCAAAAGAAAAATTTTAACAGAATTGCAGCTTCAGATATACCTTTTTCATAAGGTTTCCAGTTTTCAGAAGTAATAGTAAATAATGAGAAGCTTGAAGTAAACTGGAATTGTACTCTTCCTTGGGAGGCCTGTAGCTAAGTTTTGCTTTTGAGACTTGGTTGGTTTTGTAAACTCTCTGATCCTCATCAAATTCATAGTTGAAGATAACATGCATTACTCTATACCTTCTGTTCCTTAAATATAAATCAGTTTAACAATCCTGAGCCCAGTAGAACATCATCTACTTACTAGACCTTGCTTGGAAGTCTGTTTCTTATTTTTAGAAAAGTTATGGAGATTGACTGTTTAGTGTTGTTCCAGCTTAGAAAATGCTGAATACTGAAGTGAGCCTTCAGAGACCGTAATAAACTTAGTAAACTGAGCTCTGAAATAGGCATTGGAATCATGGCTTTGTCATGGTCCCTTCTTCTGTAAATTTTTTATATACATTTATTTAATGTGCTATTTTACAAACAAGGAAATATTATACCAGATAAATTGTCCTACCTCAGAGTATTAAATAGCTAAATTTAGAATGTCTTTAGAGGTGTACTGCCACAAATATCCAATTCCCATATTATTTATTTGCCATGAAGTCCATATACAATATACATAGATTAACAAATTGTTATCAAGTGCACTGAAAAACCAAAGACTTGAGAAGTGATAAGCATGATTCTTTGAAATAATAATTATTGATACATATTCATGAATTTATCAGTCGAAGTTAGAAGTATGACAAGTTGTAAAGCCCAAGAAGGGAAATAGAGAAGTATAAAGGAATATTTCTCATAAAGAAAATTTGGAATTCTTCATAATTATTCCTTCATCAGTAGACATTTTTCCCCCATTTAGATTTTGCAGAGGCTGTAAAATTGATTGTGGGGAAGACAGAGCTTTCATTGGAAATGCCTATATTGCTGTGGATTGGGACCCCACAGCTCTTCATCTCCGCTATCAAACTTCACAGGAAAGGGTAAGTACTCAGGACCACCATAAGATGGTGATTTTTAAATGTAAAATTTTTCCCAGTTAACTGTATCATGAATTTTGTTTTATGCAATTTAAATATTTCCAGAAAAACATTCATAAGCATTCTCTGTTGGGACTTAATATATTGACATGGTTACATGGATATTTCAGTTTTCCCACTTCTACACTTAATTATATTGAGGCAGTAAATTTCAGAAATACTACTAATAAGTAAATTTGAAACAAAAGTCTGGGTGTAGAGAAGAACAATCCCATATGAACAGTCTAAACTCACAATTAACGAAACTAGAAAAAGAAGAACAAATGAGGCCCAAAGTCAATAGAAGGGATGTAATAAAGATTAGAGCAGAAATAAATAAAATCAAGAATAAAACAATAGAAAGAATCAAAGAGAGCAGGAGCTGGTTCTTCAAGAAAATAAACAAAATAGATAAACCCCTAGCCAGACTTATTAAGAAAAAAACAGAGTCTACACACAAACAGAATCAGAAATGAGAAAGGAAAAATCATGATGGACACCACAGAAATACAAAGAATTGTGAGAGAATACTATGAAAAATTATATGTTAACAAACTGGATAACCTAGAAGAAATGGACAACTTTCTAGAAAAATACAACCTTCCAAGGCTGACCCAGGAAGAAACAAAAAAACTGAACAGACCAATTACCAGCAACGAAATTGAACTGGTAATCAAAAAACTACCTAAGAACAAACCACCTGGACCAGATGGTTTCACTGCTGAATTTTATCAAACATTTAGAGAAAACCTAATACCCATCCTCCTTAAAGTTTTCCAAAAAAATAGAAGAGGAGGGAATAATTCCAAACTCATTCTACTAGGCCAGCATCACTCTAATACCAAAACCAGGCAAAGACACCACAAAAAAAGAAAATTACAGACCAATATCCCTGATGAACATAGATAGTAAAAATATTCAACAGAATACTAGCAAACCGAATTCAAAAATACATGAAAAAGATCATCCATTATGTTCAATTAAGATTTATTCCAAGGATGCAAGGATGGTACAACACTTGAAAATCCATCAACATCATCCAGCACATCAACAAAAAGGACAAAAACCACATGATCATCTCCATATATGCTGAAAAAGCATTCAACAAAAATTCATGATAAAAATCCTAAACAAACTGGGTATAGAGGGAAAGAACCTCAACATAATAAAAGCTGCATATGATAGACCCACAGCCAACATCATACTTAACAGCGAGAGGCTGAAAGCTTCTCCTTTAAGACCGGGAACAAGACAAAGATGCCCACTCTCACCACTTTTATTCAACATAGTTCTGGAGGTCCTAGCCACAGCACTCACACAACACAAAGAAATAAAAGGCATCTAGATTGGCAAGGAAGAAGTTAAACTGTCACTGTTTGCAGATGACATGATTTTGTACATAAAAAACTGTAAAGATTCCACTCTAAAACTACTAGATCTAGTATCTGAATTCAGCAAAGTTACAGGATATAAAATTAATACACAAAAACCTGTGGCATTTCTATACACTAATGATGAACTAGCAGCAAGAGATAACAGGAAAACAATTCCATTCACAATTGCATCAAAAAGAATAAAATACCTAGGAATAAACCTAACCAAGAAGTGAAAGACCTATGCTCTGAAAGCTACAAGACACTCATGAGAGAAATTAAAGAAGATACAAATAAATGGAAACACATCCCATGCTCTCATGGATAGAAGAATTCATATTGTCAAAATGGCCATCCTGCCTAAAGCAATCTACAGATTCAATGCAATCCCTATCAAAATACCAACAGCATTCTTCAATAAACAAAAGCAAATAGTTCTAAAATTCATATGGAACCACAAAAGACCCCAAATAGTCAAAGCAATCCTGAGAAGGAAGAAGAAAGCTGGGGGGATTATGCTCCCTGACTTCAAGCTCTACTGCAAAGCCACAGTAATCAAGACAATTTGGTACTGGCACAAGAATAGACCCACAGACCAATGGAACAGACTAGAGAGCCCAGATATAAACCCAAGCATATATGGTCAATTAATATACAATAGAGGAGCCATGGATATACAATGGGGAAATGAAAGCCTCTTTAACAACTGGTGTTGGCGAATTGGACAGCTAGATGCAAGAGAATGAAACTGGATTATTGTCTAACCCCATACACGAAAGTAACCTCGAAATGGATCAAAGACCTGAATGTAAGTCATGAAATCATAAAACTCTTAGAAGAAAACATGGGCAAAAATTTCTTAAATATAAACATGAGCAGCTCTTTCCTGTACACATCTCCTCAGGCAAGGGAAACAAAATAAAAAATGAACAAATGGGACTACATCATGCTAAAAAGTTTCTGTACAGCAAAGGACACCATCAGCAGAACAAAAAGGCATCCTACAGTATGGGAGAATATGTTTGTAAATGGCATATCTGACAAGGGGTTAACATCCAAAATATATAAAGAACTTACATGCCTCAATACCCAAAAGCAAATAACCCAATTAAAAAATGGGTGGAGGATATGAACAGACACTTCTCCAAAGAAGAAATTCAGATGGCCAACAGGCACATGAAAAGATGCTCCACATCACTAGTCATCAGAGAAATGCAAATTAAAACCACAATGAGCTCACACAAGTTAGGATGGCCAACATCCAAAAGACTAGGAACAACAGATGCTGGGGAGGATGCGGAGAAAGGGGAACCCTCCTACACTGCTGGTGGGAATGTAAATTACTCAACCATTGTGGAAAGCAATATGGAGGTTCCTCAAAAAACTAAAAATAGAAATACCATTTGACCCAGGAATTCCACTCCTAGGAATTTACCCTAAGAATGCAGCAGCCCAGTTTGAAAAAGACATAGGTATCCCTATGTTTATCCGCAGCACTATTTACAATAGCCAAGAAATAGAAGCAAACTAAGTGTCCATCCGTAGATGAATGGATAAAGAAGATGTGATACATATACACAATGGAATACTATTCAGCCATAGGAAGGAAACAAATCCTACCATTTGCAACAACATGGATGGAACTAGAGGGTATTATGCTCAGTGAAATTAGCCAGGTGGAGAAATACAAGTATCAGATTATTTCACCTATCTGTGGAGTATAAGAACAAAGCAAAAACTGAAGGAACAAAACAGCAGCAGACTCACAGAACCCAAGAATTGACTAATAGTTACCAAAGGAAAAGGGACTTGGGGAGGGTGGGTGGGAGGGGAGAGAGAAGGAGAATAAGGGATAATATGATTAGCACACATAACATAGGGGGGCAGGCATGGAGAAGGCAGTATAGCACAGAGAAGACAAGTAGTGACTCTATAGCATCTTACTATGCTGATGGACAGTGACTGTAATGGGGTATGTGGTGGGGACTTAATAATGGGGGGAATCTAGTAACCACAAAGTTGCTCATGTGATTTTATATTAATGATACCAAAAAAAAAGTCTGGGTATAAAGAAGATGCATTTTCTTGCCATGACATACCAAGCAATAAATACATCTCTGCCTATTTATTGATTATTATTGACACTGCAGCTTATGGTAACCACTATTACTTAACATAAGTGCATCCCAGGACTATAGCTACTTAATGGGCTTAGTGATCAGGAAAATTAGGGGAAAGATTGAAGATTTCATGGCTGGGCACCTAAAAGTACAACCCAATGACTATTCTTTGCACTTAGCATTCCTCTATTACTGAGAGCAGGTTTTAAATGTTGAAAATGTTTCTTCAAAAAGAATACAAATGTCCATACCTAAAAATTTGCCTAATATTGTTTAAAGGGTTGATTGACTTAGATAGCTTGTGGGTAGAGATACAAAGAATCTGATAGAGAGCAACAGAATCAAAGGAGCATTTTTAGTCACATAAATTGTAGTGACCCATGTGTTTATGTGTCTCTTGATGGAAATTTCCTTCACTGTTTCTTAAGTCATTCACTTTTCTGTCTCTCTGTGCTGTTGAGGAGTGGGGAAATTACCAATTTCAAACCTAGTTCCCTGTTTGGATCCCTAAATATACCCCCACACATCTCGAGGATCCTGGCAGCTCTCACTAGCCGAGTATGAGTATAATTTGTTGTATATTTGCTAAATGAAAGATCACTGGGCTAAAGAAAGCTGAAGAGAAATTGATACTCTAGCAGATCATGCTCACTGTAGCAAGGTAATTCAATAACCTCAGCCATCCTTCATTTAAAGAGGGAAATTATAGCAACTGATAGATTCTCTGTCAGCACAAAATCTGACAGGACATTGTGACAAGACACTCCTGTGAAAGATGAAAATTATTTAGCTCTAAACCTCATTCCCCTTTTAACAAGCCCAGTGTTCAATCTGAAAAGCTGTGGAGGACATCCTGCTTATAGGAAGAAGGGCCTACATGACCTGTTCAGTCTCACCCGTCTTCCATTTTTAGTAATCCTGTTAGGATACCATGGAAACCAACTTGCTCTTGAGATAATCCTGCCTTGCTAAGAAGTGGGGCCACATGACTAATTTCTTCCTACGTAATTTCTCTTCCTGTGTGTGGCTTCTGCATGTGCTTGGAGACTCACGTAAACAGAGGAGAGAACTTGATTCAAAATTGAGACTATAGCTCATATGTTTTGTTTTTTATGCCAGGAATTTCCCTTCTAGGAATTTTACCTAAGGAGATACTCTGTAATTCACTGACATATCTTCACCATGGCATTTTTTAGAATAACAAAAAATTAGAAACAACTTATAGTTGCCTCACATTAGAGAAATACTTAAATGAAGTGTGATAATTGGATAGAATATTGTATAATTATTAAAAATGATGACTACCAGGAGTTTTTATTGACACATATGGGAAGATACATAAATTATCATATTAAGTTTTTTTAAAAGCAAGATATAAAATTGCATGTACTGAAAAATCTATTCAATATAAAAAAATGCCATTTAGGAAAAGGACAGAACAAAATCTGCCAATATTTTTACAGTGTTTGCCTTTGAATTGGCAATATAAAAGTTTCTCTGCCTTTTTTACATTTTTCACTGCTTTCCAAAATTTCTATATGAATGTTTTATTTGGTAAGCAGAAAAAAATAGAGAGACAATTGTTCTTATTCTTTTTATTTTCGCCCTGTTTGGACCTCACATTCCTCAACAGAAAATTAAAGTAGATCTTGGATCTCCGTATTTTTCTATAGCCTTACCGTGTGTAAAAGCTACTGTTTCATTCCTTATGTTTTGTGTTAAGGGTGAGTTTTCAAACAAATTAGAAAAAAAAGGTGGTGATAAGTAATTTAGACTACTTAAATAAAAGTAGAGGATCTGGGAATGGATCCCTAAAGGTAAAGGGAATATTTGTCATTTAGGGAAATTTTATTGATAAATAAAAATTGTCAGTCCACAAATGTTTTTTATCAGTCTTTTTCCCTGTCTCCTAATTCTGTAGCCTGTATGTTCCATAGAAAATATAGTCAATAAAAAATCAGCATTCTTTACTAGCTTACCTGCAATTTGTGGTCAGCCATAAAGCATCCCTAGTAGCAATAGAGATAATATTTAACTGACTACAAGAAAAGAGACACTGCTGTGTTTGATACACCTCTTTTTGACAGATTTTCCTTTCTGAAAAGAAAGCTTTTCCTTAAGGTCCCCTTTTTAAATGAATTCACTTGAAATGGATGGTGATGCAATGCCAAAACCCTTAGTTGTGTGATCAACCCCAACTTTGATAGTTTATAAAAGCATTTGACAGCCTGTGACTCAGCCATCCTCTCATGTAGGGAACAGGTCACACCTGAAAACCTGTTCTAAACTGAATGTCCTAAAGTGTGCTATTTATTATCTAGCAGCCCAGTGTTCTCATCATAAGTTGAGGGAAATTGCCCCAGGCAAAACTAACTCACCTCTGGAAGGGAGGAGTGATAAGGAAAGTGATGAACATGTGTGTGAACTTTGCCAGAAAAAGAGACATTTGTTGTTGAACTTGTTGTCCAGGCCTCACCCTGAGACTAAAAGTTCCCTGTGTGAAGTCTCCTGGTAGCATTTGTAGTCCTAATGCTATGCCTCACCCACCATGGTTCTTGATGGCTTATTGAGTGGCAACCAAGAATTGGAGAGGGAAAAATCCTTCTTTTCCTGCTGCATTCTAGGGCCTTCCTTTTTTCCCTCCTCCTGATCCCACACCACTTTCAACACACATCCTCACACATCTACCCCACCCTGCTCTCTCTCCTTTCTTACACTTACCTCTTTCTTGCTCCAAAGTCTAGCATGCTGATTAACAGAACCACAGAGGTTTAGGCAGGTATTAGGGATTTTCTCAACAAAATCTGACTTTTTTTAACCTGCTGTTCCTTTTATTGCCACCTCAGATTAAAAGGCCCCATGAGGCAGGAGACAGACACACACGTGGTATTCTGATAACTCTGTTTCATGGCACCAATATGTACATGAGTTGTCATTTATGGAGTACAACAACAAAGCAAACAAAACTGAAGGAACAAAACAGCAGCAGACTTAACACACTCCAAGAAGGAACTAGCAGTTACCAAAGGGAAGGGGTTGGGGATGATGGGTGGAGAGGGAGGGAGAAAGGGATTAAGGGGCATTGTGATTAGCACACCTAATGTAGGCGGCTCACAGGGAAGGCGGTACAGCATGGAGAAAACATGTAGTGACTTCATAGCATCTTATTATGCTGATGGACAGTGACTGCACTGGGGTCGTGGTGGGGGGGACTTGGAATATGGGTGAATGTTATAAAAATCTTCATAAGATTGTATATCGATACCTTAATAAAAAATAAAAATATGTAAATGAGTGTGTCCTGTGGGGTTTAACACTGTGGTGTATTGTCTTCTAACGGTGAATTTTTCAGTTCCCTTTCTTGTGTAATCCAGATCTGGCATCTGTGTTCCAAGGACACTATTTCTCCTGCTCTCTGTAAAGCCTGTGACATACCAACAATGTTCTGTCTTTCTGATTAAATAACAAATAGCCTAATCTCAACACACCTTGCTCACATATAAGCTAATTTAGGGTTTCAAAATTGTAAAATAGACAATTCCTGGTTTGTTTTTGGTTTTTGTCATTTTGAAGCATTAAGAAATTTTTCAAGAAAAGCTGTGGTCATATAAACAGAAATTTGACCTAGGCTATTATTGGTGTGGTGTTCATGAATAAATGTGGAGAGGTTGTATTTGCTCAAACACTAGTTTGGGTTGTATTTTCTTCTTCCTCACGTAGAATATAAAGAGGGTGAGTCATCTAGAGGATGATAGATGTTTCCTAGACCATTTTTAACTCCCTTCCATCCTTTCCTCCAACCCTCCCATTGCCTCCACCTGTAGGTTGTAGATGAGCACGAGAGTGTGGAACAGAGTAGACGAGCACAAGCTGAGCCCATCAACCTGGACAGCTGTCTCCGTGCTTTCACCAGTGAGGAGGAGCTAGGGGAGAATGAGATGTACTATTGCTCCAAGTGTAAGACCCACTGCCTGGCAACCAAGAAACTGGATCTCTGGAGGCTTCCTCCCATTCTGGTATGTTATAGTCTACCTCTGAGAGAGCAGGAGTCTTGCCTAAAGGAGAAGTCAGGAACAAATAAGTCTTGTTCTTTTTCAAGAATAAGATTCTCCTTGCACAATGTTTCAAAACACTTCTTGTGTAAGGTTTTTATGTTGCACACAGATTAATTAGCCTAGTTCCTGCTAGATATTTGCTAGTTCCTGATCCTAAAGACCATATAGCCTAAAAGGAGAGATCATGTAGGCCAGTAATTGCATTTTCATGCAATACGTGGGAAGCACCACTAGTACAACCTGGTGAATTTAAACTTCTAGCACTGAGGGGAGAAAGCTTCAGGCTTACCCTCAGTGGACGCCAGAAAGGCAACTGAGCCTGAATCTCCAATCAGTGTTTGGTCACATGGCCACACACACTGCCGGAGTTACATGTATGTACACAAGTGCACTGAGGCTTATGTGTTCTTTTAGATTTGATTTACTACTTCTGCTTTCTCCCTTCATGGATTAGGAGACTCTCCTGTTACTTGTCAGGAGAGTCTGAAGTGATGAGTCTTGCTGTTCATTTAAGAAAGCTTTTTCCTTAAAGGTGAATGTATCACATCAGATGTAACTGTAAGACACTGGTATATTTTAACCAGACCTTGTGTGCATTTTCTTTTTATTCATGTCTTCTTTCTACTGCTCTGTGAGAATATGACTATAGGTTTCTTTCCTTAGACCAGAACCACTTCTCAGGGAAGGGGGCACAAGAAAGTAATAGCATTGGTTAGCTAGCTCCAGATATGGGAATCAAAGGAAGGGAAGAAGAGGGCAGGAGTAAGCCTAGGGACAGGTAGATGGGAAGGGGGAAAGGTTTTTTTAAATTTAGGTATAGTTAACATGGAATTAAATGCATGGATTTTAAATGCCTAATTTGATACGTTTTGACAATTCCATATGCTCATATAACCATCGTGTAAAACATGTGCATAAAGGCATTTATAAAAGTATGTTTTTGAGGTCTTTAAAGAATAATGAAGAGTAAATATGATGTCAAGAGCTTGATAGGCTTCTACTGGATCCACATACCAGCATGCTCCTTAGGAAGGGATACTGTGTAAACAGTAAATTGTTAAGCATTTAGGTGGAGATAGCCATCCAAAAGTCTGTCCCTGCACGAGAGAGCATAACACTCCATAGGACTAGAACTCATTGCTCTTAGAAAGGAGAAGAGAACCCTGAAAGGGGGAAAGGAGATTCTTAGGCTCTTCAGGATGGTGAAACTCCCTGATAGCATCCAAAGGATATAGTAAGATAGGAGAGGCCTCCTTTTGGAGCTTGGGTAAGTTTCATCTGTAAAAAAAAACTCCTCCGTTTTTACTTTTCTATTTTTTATACTGAGGTACACACAATAAAATGCACCAATCTTAGTGTACAGCTTGATGAATTTTGATTTGTGTATACATTCATATAGCCATCACCCAAGTCAAGATCAAACATTCTCACTAATTTTTTTCCCCTTCACGTATTTCACCTACTCCCCAACCCCCTTCCCTATAGTAACTACCAATCTGTCCACTAAGTCTATTTGTGTTTTGTTTTGTTTTTTAGATTTGATATATAAGTAAAATCATATGGTATTTGTCCTTCTCTTCGGACTTATTTCATTTAGCATAATACCCTGTAGGTCCGTCCATTTTATTGCAGATGGCAAGATTTCATTCTTTTTATGGTTGATTAATATTTCATGGTATATATACCCTGTATCTCTTTTATCCATACTTCAGCCAATGGACACTTGAGTTGCTTCCATATATACACTGTTTTAAGTAATGCCGCAGTAAACATGAAAGTGCACATATCTTTTTGAATTAGTGACTTTGTTTTCTTTGAGTAAATTCTCAGAAATGGAATTGCTGGGTCGTATATGGTATTTCTATTTTCAATTTTTGAGAAACATCCATACAGCTTTGCATAGTGGCTCTACCACTTTGCAATCCCACCATCAATGTAGAGAGTTCCCTTTTTTCCACATCCTCACCAACACTTGTTATTCCTTGTCTTGTTTCTATTAGCTATTCTGATGGGTATGAGGTAGTATCTTGTTGTGGTTTTGCATTTCCCTGATGATTAATGATGTTGAGCATCTTTACATGTGCCTGTTGGCCATCTGTATATCTTTGGAAAATGTCTATTTAGGTCCTCTGCTCGTTTTTTAATCAGATTATTTGTCTTTTTAGTGTTGAGTTATATGAGTTCTTTATATATTTTGGATTTAAGCCCCCTACCGGATATATCATTTGCCAACATATTCTCCTATACAGAGGGTTGCCTTTTCATTTGGTTGATGGTTTCTTTGGCTGTGCAGGAGCTTTTTAGTTTAATGTAGTTCCACTTGTTTATTTTTACTTTTGTTTCCCTTGCCTGGGGAAATATATCCAAAAAAAGTTAACTAATGGCCATCTTAAAGAGTTTACTTCCTTTTTTCTTCTAGGGGTTTTATGGTTTTGGGTCTTATATTTAGGTCTTTAATCCATTTTTTGAGTTTACTTTTATTTATGGTGTAAGACAGTGATCCAGTTTCATTCTCTTACATGTAGCTTCCAGTTTTGTCAACACCAGTTATTGAAGAGGCTGTTGTTTCCCTGTTGTATATTCATTTCTCCTTTATCATATATTAATTGACCATATATGTGTGGCTTTGTATCTGGGCTCTCTATTATGTTCCATTGATTTATGTATCTGTTCTTATGCCAGTACCATACTGTTTTGATTACTATAGCTTTGTAGTATAAAATGCCTCCATTTTTCTTCAGAATATTCAGTATAGTCACCTATCCTCATGAGTGTATTTGTGAGTGGATCTTTTACGCTATTGGAGAGAGAGAGGTAAAGGTCAGTATGGGTCTCATCCCCAGAAAGCAGAGGAGGACATGCAAATACAGATTCTAGGATGCTGAAGACATTTGGGAGAGTTGTGGATATACACAGGCTATGAAATTAGAGGATTACCATGTTAGCCATATATCTAAGTACAGTGGCCCCACTGATAGCTCTGATATATGATAAAATAAATTCGTTTTGAAAAAAAGTAATGTTATACTTGAACATTCACATGTATTAGACCTTTTTTTTTGGTAAATTTTCAGAACCTTTAATGCAAGTGTTTTCTACCTTTTCTTCTCCAGATTATTCACCTTAAACGATTTCAATTTGTAAATGGTCGATGGATAAAATCACAGAAAATTGTTAAATTTCCTCGTGAAAGTTTTGACCCCAGTGCTTTTTTGGTACCAAGAGACCCAGCTCTCTGTCACCATAAACCACTCACACCCCAGGGGGATGATGTCTCTGAGGCCAGAGTTCCAGCAGGAGAGGTGAAGAAGGTGGATGCTCAGAACTCAGCTGAGGAAGAGGACATGCTCCTGAGGAAGAGCCCATCCTCACTCAGTGCAAACATCATCAATAGCCCTAAAGGTAAGGAGGCCAGGGGGACCTCGTGCATCCCAGACATCATCCAGACTGGGGCTTTCCTAGGACGCTGGGGGCTGCATGTTACCTTCTGTCTTCCACTCTGGACTAAAAAAGCTTTGGTGAGGTGGAAGTAACCTATCTGGAATCATACCTGTGTAGATCTGAGCTACATGACTTTTAGCAATCTATTTTCTCATTCATAAAAAGGAGATAATACTAAGTTCACAAAGTGTGAGGATTTGATACATCAAGAGTGAACCACTTTCACTTTCATAATGCCTGACACGTGGCAATCATGATAGTTGTAATTTTGTTCCCTTACAACAAAGGTTCTCCAAGTGTGGTCTGAGAACCCCTAGAGAGTCTCTGAGACCCTTTCAGTAGGGCTGGAAGATTAGAACTGTTTTCATTTAGTTCTTATTCTGTCACAACTGTGCAGAGGAATCAGAGCCAACATGATGTGATGATATCGCCAGTGAAATACATGCTCATTTGTTACATTTTTTTTCTCAGTTCTAATTTTTAATGTTATAAATATTGATAGATAGATATATATACTCATGAATTTTTTTTAATTCCTCAGTTTTAATTTCTAATGTGATAAATATTGATAGATGTAACCCACATAAACAAAATTTCCTTAACAATTTCTTTAAGGGTCTTTAAGGAGGTGGGGGTGCTGAGTCCTGCTACCTTAGGATTATTGTGGGTGATAGAGTTCCCAATACCGTGGCTAGCAATAGTAAGTGCTTCTAATTGGTGATCATATTTTTCATCTAAGGATGTATTTATATTTATAAAATTCCTTGCTCTAATAACATTATTTTCAATCTGACCTAATAGTACCTTTCTGCTATTTTCTAAATTCCTACACAATACTTTATGTTTTTAAGACATAGCTGCCTGGAGGGGCTTGGCATTGAGGAAAACAAGAATATAACTTACTGGCTCCATAACAGGAATAAAGAGTAACCAGTCAGAATGCTCCTGTCTTTACTTTAATGTATACATTTGTGAAGTTGGCTTCAAAGTTTGCATTTGATGATTTAACTTATGGCATTTGGATTTATGAATATTTTCCTTCTCTCTCTTTCACAGGTTCACCTTCTTCATCAAGAAAAAATGGAACCAGCTGTCCCTCCAGCAAAAGCAGCAGCCCTAACAGCAGCCCTCGGACTTTAGGGAGGAGCAAAGGGAGGCTCCGGCTACCCCAGATCGGGAGCAAAAATAAACTATCAAGTAGTAAGGAAAACTTGGAGGCCAGCAAAGAGAATGGTGCTGGGCAAGTTTGTGAGCTGGCTGATGCCTTGAGTCGAGGGCACATGCTAGGGGGCAGTCAGCCTGAGCTGGTCACCCCTCAGGACCACGAAGTAGCTTTGGCCAATGGATTCCTTTATGAGCATGAGGCATGTAGCAATGGCTACAGCAATGGTCAGCTTGAAAACCACAGTGAAGAAGACAGCACTGATGACCAAAGAGAAGATACTCATGTTAAGCCTATTTATAATCTATATGCAATTTCGGTAAGTGGTTTGCTATATGGTTTTCAGAATGATCTGCACTTTTTCGTGGTTTGTTCATTCATTCATTCATTCATTCATCAGCTTTTCAGGGCCTGCTTATTTGGTAGGCATTGAACTCAGTGATAGGCAGAGTAGCAGTAGACAGTCTTCTGGGTAGAATCCAAGATACAATGTACTGCAGGGGATAGTCATGGAATTATTGTAACTGGTCACAGATTCAAGTCAGTCACAATTGTGTGTTCCTAAGGATTTTTTGCTTTCTAAAAAATAATTACAACCATAAAATGGTTAAGATTTAGAGCTTTTGAATTTTGCTTCTTGTTTTGTTCTTAAGAAGAGGTAGATGGTGCCAAAACATTCTTTCTTAACCTGATCAGTGTTTTTCTGACAGATCCTAGGACTATGCCCTACCCAGAATACTGATAACTACTAACATATCTCCACTTCTTTTTTACAGTGCCATTCAGGAATTCTGGGCGGGGGCCATTATGTCACTTATGCCAAAAACCCAAATAGCAAGTGGTACTGTTACAATGACAGCAGCTGTAAGGTAAATATCCCCAATCTTTGAACAAAAGAAACAACAGATTTGGGAGACTGTTGAAAGTGTGGATTTTTTCCTGAATGAGAAAATAATATTTCTGCTAGAATCAGTGCATAAATAAATGCCTTCATTTAGTTCCAGCAGGAGAGGTGAAGAATAGCCAGTCAGAATGCTCCTGTCTTTACTTAAATGTATACATTTGTGAAGTTGGCTTCAAAGTTTGCATTTGATGGTTAAAGGAACAAAAGTGATATGCAGAGTAGAGAATGAAAACATGAGTGTGAGAAAAAAGTTAATGGTTAATGAGAAAAAGTTCTTAAACTTTTGAGCTGTTAGGATTTGAGGTTGTTTGTTTTGTTTCATTTGCCATTCTTTTGATTTACCTTTGGTCAGAATATATTCCCCAAAACAAGCATTGAAAATAATAGGGTTCATTTCAGGGGCAGGTATGAGACAGCCAAATATTAAGCTGATTGGAAACAATCAGGTTTAGTAATTAAAGAGGGTTGGTGCTCCCTTCCCTGGTAAGGATTAAGAGCGAGCATAATAATGACTTTTTTGTTAAAGGCTTTTCTTGCCCTTTCAGGAACTTCACCCTGATGAAATTGACACCGACTCTGCCTACATTCTTTTCTATGAGCAACAGCAGATAGACTATGCACAATTTCTGCCAAAGATCGATGGCAAAAAGATGGCAGACACAAGCAGCATGGATGAAGACTTTGAGTCCGATTACAAAAAGTACTGTGTGTTACAGTGAAGCTACCACTCTGGCTACTAGACAGGCTGGTGGTGAGGGGGATGACTCCCTGTAGCTGACATTTGGCAAAAGCATCGCTGAAAGGCAAGCTAAATGTAGTTATTTTATCCTGTGGCCCTGAAGCACAAAATAAAAATCCTAATTAAAATAGCAGTTAACATAACAGTAGTGATAATTTTGTTTGGAAGTGTCTCACACAAGTTCTCTGGTAGAGAACTTTCAGGCAGAGCGCACCATTAGCCTGTAAACAAAAGGGTTTGGCACCAGCCACTTGGGACCAAATAAGAAATTGTGCTTGTCCAGATAGGAACAAATATGTAGTGAGTGTAGAGTTTACCAATAATCAGAACAAAATACTAAGAATCTCCTTGGAGTCAAAGTAAAACAAAAAATCGTAGTGTTGTCTGGAGACGACATGATATGCTACCTCCTTTTACCTGAAGTTCTATTCCATTATATTGGCAAGACGGAGAAAACAAGATCCTGAAGGTGTGCAAAGGATTCCTACAGTGTGGATGCAGACTTCTTGATTAATTTTTTAAACCATTTTCCCACTCCTCCTATGCCTTTCTTGCTTTTTGTTTTTTGCTGTTGTGTTTGTGTTTGAGACACAACCAGTCATTGATGGCAGAGGCGTATATAAATGGTCAATCTTAAGAGCTGTGTGCCTTCTCCTTGGGGTCTTGGTTGAGAGACCCTGTAGGGAAAAAAAAAGCATTCCAGGCAATCCAGCTAACGTGGCCCTACGGATAGAGGCCTCTTACTGTGTGGATGCCTCAGGCATCCTCTGAATGCATTCCCTCCTCCCCCACTGCGAGGTGTGGTAGGGTGGTTGCCAGTATTTGCACCATCTTCACATGCACATGTTGCACAAAGAACTTCTGAGAAGGAAAATGACATCAGCGCCAGATGGTGTTTTACAACTAGTGGTTGTTGGTTCTTTGTTTCTTTGTTTTGCACTTTAAAAAAAGAATACATGCAAATGAACTTTTCCAAACTTGCTCATTATTTGATGGCTGTAAGGGCTATAAATTACCTTGAAATGGGTTATTGTCCCCCATCATATTAAATTAAAAAAAGAAAAACATCCCAAGCATTAATGGTATATTTTTAATGAAATTGGTGGTTTTAGGGAGTAAACTTCTGTTTTCTTTGCATATCTTATTTTGCCCCCCCAAAAGTTATATTTCTTTGCTCACTTCACTTTTTCCTCCAATAATTCAAGACTGGAACAAAAGTATAAATGTTATTTATTTCAGGCAGCATTTTTTTTTCCTATGTTCTTTTTAAATATATGTTTGAAGTAAATATATCACTTTTTTTTTTCAATCTTTTTTTATTCATCTGGATCCTGGAATTGTCGGGCTCCATTACCCTTCCTTCCTTCCTCATAGATAGTAGGTAATTAAGCATTTGTGTTATGATACCTGAGGCTGGTTATTACCCAGTTCTTCTCAGAGCATTTGGGAAGATTGTCTTAAATGGCTGCCTAACTTGAAACCCTCTTCAGAAGAAGACGGTAATTGTAAGGAGGAAGGAATGGCCTAAGTGGTATAATATGATGAAGTCAGATAAATGCAGACTTCATAGTTTCATAATTTTCAGTATATAAAATCTGTCCATTCTTACCTGGACAAGTTCCATGAAAAAGTGGAAGATTTTAAATAATTTCCTTACAGATGTTTTATTTAATCAGGTAGCACAATCTACTAATGTTGTTTGATCTGTGTTTGTTATATTGGTTGTAATTAATTTTTTTAAATTCATGATTAGAAAATTTATTAAATTAACTATTAACTACATTCACCTTGTAAATTACTGTATAAAACTTGACAATGCACTGACTTTAGAGAGATGTTGATGTATATAAATAGAGTGTAAATAAAATAGTGTGGATGTACTGAAATATGAACTGTATAAAAAAAGTATTGGTAATTGTATATGGAGTGTACTTGTTTATCTGTAACTATTATCCAAATTAAATACTGTGGATGCATCTCTGTGTTGTTTTTCCTCTATACAAGTAAACAGAAAAAAAGTCAAATTCTTCAGCCTTTCTCTCTGTGACCATGTTTTAATTCTCTTACTTGAATAATACCTACCTGACTTACAGAGTAGATGTTCCATCTCTGAGAAAATGGGAACTGTGATGAAGGTAGAACAAGATTACCTGCAGTGATCAGGTGAGTTGACAAACTTGTCTCACATCCCTGCTAGGCAATTATTTTGTAAGGCATTGAAGGGGAAGAAGGGTAGAGAGCTGGTGATGAACTGAGAATAGATGAAGGAGGTCATACCATAGTTTACAGGCAAATTAGGAGATAAGAAGAGGAAGACTTCTCATTGGTAAAATGACTTGAAATGATCCTAGGTTTCTAGCGGGTGTGAGAAGCCAGGGATGTCCCTGACTGTGTCTGTGGAAGTCTCCAAAGAAGTTGGCAATGTTGAGAAGAGTCGAAGGTTTAGAGCTGTGGGTCCTTCACCTTCAGCCTCTGTTTGTTTACCTTTAAAATGTAAATACCTTCCTCTCAGGCTTACATTGTAAATGAAGTATATAAATTCCTGCCTCAGTTTCTTGGTAAATGCTTAATGAGTGTGAAATTAACACCCATGAGATTCAATCCTGTTTTGCCAAGAGGTTTTTTACTCCCTTGGTATATACTGACACTAAAAGAATTTAATACCTCTCCACTCACAGTCTCTAAAAACAGGAAATACACATTAAAATTGTATAGAATGAAATGTGTTGAATCAGCAGCAGTAGTAGTCATGAAAAACGAAGCACATCTCCTAAAATGCCAGTCTATGTCTCTAGCTTTTTCAAAGACAACCTTGTAAAGGACCAGCTTAAGGAGATGAGCAAGCATCTTGTTTCTGGCTCCAGAATGAACCTGTAAGTTGAGAGGCCTTCAGCCCCAACCTTCTCTGCCTGAAGGTAGCAATTCCACAGGGAATCTCATCACCACTTGGTGGCATTGCTCACTGCAGTTTCCTTTCTTAATTGCAGACACCATTGAAATTGAGCAAGTAAATGTATTGCCACATTTCCCCCAACTATTTTAAAGGTTAAATGTAGAGTTTTACTAGCCAGAATCTGTAGGTTAAAGAACAGAGAGCCCAGTTTTCCTTGATGATGTACCAGCGGGCTCCTTAGTTTTGAAATCACAAAGTCAGAAATGCACACACACACACACACCTCTATGATCAGAGACTCATGAAAGACAGAGCAATAAAAAGAGGCTTGTCTTTGGGTTTACCAAACTTCCTGAACAAATGGGAAGTGAGAGGGGTAAATAAGAGTGAAAAGTTGCAAACTCGGAGGCATATAGGGACCAAGTTGGAAACAAAACGTAAAAGAAGCAGATCTAGCTGTGAATGAGAATGGGGAGTAGCTGGGCCTATGGTGAGTTCTAGGGCACACATCCATCTAAAGTCTCCGTTCCATTGTTACCATGCAGGAATGTGGGCTCCAGTGCTACCAAATCTCTCTTCCCCTTCTAAGGAGAAACCAGAAATCCAGAAATAATTTAGAAATGTAGGCAATTAATTTTGTTTAGATGTTAAACATTGTACAGTCCAAATAAAACCTATCTGCAAGCCAGTTATAAGACACCAGTTTATGCCCTCTGGTAAGTCGAAAGGTCATGGATTTTGAGCCCATTAAGACAAAGGTCAGATTCTAGCTTGGCTGTTAAAACAGATGTGAACTAAAACTAGTCCCTTAGACACAGATTTCTCATGCCAATGAGAATACCACTCTAATTCAGAAAGTTACTGTAAGGAATAGATACTGAATGTAAATAGGCACAGAGCCTGACACCTATTAGGTACTCAGTATAATATAACAGTAATGTTACGGTTGAGTGAATTACCAAGCTGGAAGCATACTGCATGTTCTAGGTACAGAGCTCTGTGCTAGGTTCTCTGAGGAGCAGTTCCCAACCTGGCAATTCAGCAGCAGCATAGAATCAACTATGAGCTTGTTAAATGCCCCTTCCAGGGCCCCACCCATCATTGTCCTGTTACACCTGTGTTCTGTGCCTATCTACACCCAGGTTTATGAGATCATCTCCCTTGCTTCCAAAAATCTGCATTCTAATAAGTTCAGGAGAGATTGTTTTGCAGCCAGTTTGCACTGGTCTGCAGATTGGTCATTTATGGACACCACAGCTCCAAGGAATGAGTCATTACTTTCAGTTTAATTAGGGAAAGATGACGGGCATATGCATACATGTAGGAGGAGTGATAGTAATTAACCAAAGCTCCCTAGATACGATTGAATCTGATGAAGTGCTGACTGCAGACATTAGACTGTAGGCTGTTCATAGAGTACTTAGGGAAAACCAAATGGGAAAGGGAAGTGAGCTGCACCATGAAGCAAGATGAGGATTTTATTGTCAGGAGCATGCAGAATAGCGTTCTAGACAGACAAGCAGAGGTGGTGCATTGCAGAGACCTGCTTGAGCTTAGCTGAAGGTGAAATGAGAAGAATAGTAGGGGGGAATAAGTGGACAAAAGTCTGCTGTGAAGGCCTCTGACTGTCAGACCAGTCTGTTAAGTGTTTCACATTGCCAAGTACTTTGGTATGGTTGCAAAACATTTTCATCTGGGTTACATAAGTACACACTAATCTATTTTAGACCATTTTATTATAAACAAGTTTCTGTTTGCTGTAATTTAGCTTTGCTTTCTCTTTTTCATACATTCAGTCCATTTTTGCTTCAATTTCTCTTGATAATGAACTTCGGGCAATACCAGAAGGCCTAGAAGAACGCAGATGACTACTTGGCTTTAAGTGCTCTGAGAAGAGAAAAGTAAGTGGAAGAAAAAGCAAAAAAGAGTCAGCCAGGAGGTGGGAGAAAAACTAGAAAGGCTTTGGAAAGGGAGAAGGCACGCCAGGGAGATGGGCTGGGGGAGGCATCCGACGCGGGGGCCTCGGGCACGCTTCTTCAGTTCACAGAAGGACGTGCTGCTGCTGATGGCTAAACACCTGGGGCTCACTGGGATGATGCACTGTGTAGCGGGAAGAGGACATCCACACTGCAGTTCAGCAGGAGCCTCCCAGGATGGGTCAGGAGATGCCTAAGGTGATCAGACTGCTATAGCCCCAAGTGCAGGTGAGTCATCTTACTGGCACCACAGAAAGCAATGAACTAGAAATCTATTCTACAGTGTTTGCTCTGCTCCTTGCACAATTGTATCACCTTGAGCAGGTCACTTGTTTTCTTCTCAGCTCCCTTTGTGAGTAAGGAAGGAGTTACGTTAAGTCAGTGGTCTTCAGCTTTTACTTTGAAACAACATTAGGCCTGGCCCTTTCTTCAAACTATGTTTTATCTGAAGGACCCATACAATAGTTTACGCAACCAGGTTGGAGTTGTTCAGGTTGAAGTGGGTGGGGGATGGGGTTCGGCTTGAGCAACCCGTGAGGGCTAGAGCGGATGTCCACTGAGGCACCTTTGACCTGAGATTCAGAAAATGATGATACAGTGCTGCTGCAGCACCGGAGGAGCTCCCAGAGAACTATCCCAGCAACGAGAAATTCTCATTTGGTCTGCTGGAAAGCGTGGTGGCAGCGGGGTGGACCTTTCTGAAGCCATTTTGCTGTTCTCAGTACATCTGGGCAGGGAGGAGAAGCCAGCCAACTAGAATGAAGACCAGTCAATCCCTCCTTTGCAAAGGCCACAGGTAAGTGCCTGGAGCGCCTGTGGCTGGGTGTCTGCAGGGAGCCAGCCCCAAAGCCTCTGGCCTCCCCTTGTGCCAGCTGGAGAGTTACTGCTGCTGCTCCTCGTTTGCCAAGCTCCCTGTAGCTTGGAGCTGTAAATAAACAGCTTTGGGAGAGATGGGAAAGGGAGAGGGCAGAGTTTATCACTCATACATCAGATGTTTATTGAGTACCTATCATATGGCATAACGGAGTGTCCTGTGCTTGGAACTGGAAGAAACGATGGAGAGGATGCTTGGACATTGAATGGACATACACTATTTGTCAGACCTCATGCTATTCATGTTCTAGCCTTTATCTAACGCTTACCACAGCTCTTTAAGGGCTGCATTCTCATCCCTTCTTGTAGATGAAGAAACAGACTCAAAATTAGGTCTCTTGCCCAAGTTGTCACACAGATGCATTGGTTCTGAGGTAGATTCAAACCCAGGCTCATCTGGCTGCTTCCGTACCACCCACTTCCCCCTGAACTAGAGTCTGTAATCCACCACTTAGCATCTTGAGAAGATAGCCAATCACTGTGAACCCCAGTGGCCTGTCTGTGACAAGGGAGGAGGGTCTTGATGACCCTGACTACCTTATAGTGTTGTGATAAGCATTGAATGTGAAACCCTTTTAAACCTGATCACACTTATGCAAACGTGAAGTGTTGTTGTTACAGAAGAAGTGGGTGTCCTGCAGGCAGCCTCCTCCCCATCCTCCTGGAAGATGAAGAAGTCAGAGGAGCAAATAACCATGCAGTAACTCAACTGGAACAGACATCCTAGGTTCTCACCTCTGGCTGCCCAGGAGCCGGACTGAGGATGGAAGGGGGCTGTAGAAGGGGAGGTGGGACAGGCAGGGAGAAAAAAGGGACTCTGGGTCAGGTCAAGACCTTTAGTTACAAACTGGACGTTGAAGTGCCTGGTAGTATCTTAGGGATTTAACAGGGATGTGATAGTTCCAGAGGCAGAATGGGAAAGACAGGGACAGCTCTTCAGGGGAGGGCAGCCACCAGCCACAGCAGCCAAGAGATTCCTTTGTTCCCCACTGGCCCTCTGCCAGACTGGGCTACCTGACGATGCTTGGCCCACCGAGGACAGTGCCTCCTCCCATTAAGCTGGGCCTTTTCCTTCCTGGCCTTTCCTGGGGAGGGAGGGAGAACAATTGAGCCTAACCGTTTGTACCCAGGTGTTTGCACCTGTAAGCACGGACTCTAAACCAAATACCACATGTCCCTCCAGCCACCACAGCATGCCCATCACAGCTGCCTTCCATTCAGTCCTGGCTGTGCTGAGCCCTGGAGGGAGCCCATTATCTTCCCCACCCAGTTATAAGTCCAGCTTTGGTTTTCTCATCTCTCCCCTTCCATAATAACGGAAATGCTAGGCCTCATCCAGTATCCCCCGTTTCCAAAAGTTTGAGTGACAACACTTTGCTTTTACCAAAGACCTATGTTAGTACAGTAATGGCTTTTTCGTAAAAGTGAAAATACTCTTTGCATTTCTTTGGGTTAATGGTACTAACGTAGCTCTTTCCTAAAAGCCACGTGGCATATTACAAACTTCTGAAAGGAGAGGAGGAGGGAGGATGCTCTGCTTTACTCCACATCAGCTTACATAAGGTTTCAGAGGAACACTGTATTTTTGGATGGCAGGAAAAATGTGTATGTCAAAAAAGAAAGAGGGAGAAAGGGGAGGAAGTTGGGAAGGAAAAGAAAGAGGAAGGAAGGAGGAGAAAAGGGAAGAAAGAGAAAACATGCCTAGTTTCAGCTCTGGGGAAATACCCGGTATAAATTTGGAGGACAACCTAAACTGTAACTGGTCTGAAAAAGAATGTTGAAGTCAAAGACCTGTGGCACTGCCCAGGTAATCCCCCTCCCAAAGTGGCAGCATGGGGGCCACGCCTGGCGAAGGCTTGGATGAAACATTTCCTCTGTGATCCTGTTTGCACTGATAGTTTGTTGGAAACCATTTCCTCATCTAGAGCACTCCCTGAACTTGAACCATTACCAAATTCCATGCAGCAGGATGTGTGAATCAGCTCTGTGCCCACTCTGCTGGCCTGGCCATCACAGCCTCGGGCTCACTGAAACGTCATTCACTGCAAGGACACAGGTTTCATTGGGCCACACACACACACACACACACACACACCCCTCGAAGCCCCACTCTCCCTCTCCATATTGATGGCACCTCCAGAGGTATTTCAAATGTGCCTTAAACTAGTCCTTTCAGCTACCACGTGCTGAGCTCTGGGCAGGAGCAGCCAATCTTCTGGGTCCGCACCGTACCACCGCTGCCTCCCCCAGGCATCCCTGCCAGACTGGGCACCAGGGTTGGAATTGCTTACTGGTCCCTTATCCTCCACCAGAGTGTCCCCAAAGTACAGCTGCTTGCGTCCCACCATCAATGTTGGTGTTTCAGTGAAATTGCTTTTCTCTTGTGTGCTTCCATTCCCTTTATCACCCCAAGTGAATCCTGGAGGCTAACTGATAGATGCTACTCCAGACTCCTGGCCTCTCCTCGCCTTTGACTCTGAAGCTTCACGTGGACCCAGCCCGTCACACCTGCCAGGAGGTGGCTCTGGCAACACAGCCAGACAAGGCCACCCCGTCATGCTCCAAGCAGCTCCTCACATGGCTGAAGCCCCCAGCTGCACAGGAGCCCACTGTTGAAACTAGAATTAAACCCTGTTTGACCCGCAGCCCCATGGAGATTGTGACCAGGCCAGGCCTACAGAATGAAAGGGCAAAGTCACTTTGGGCCCAAGGACTGGGAAGCAAATTCCCTGAGGATGACACACGTGACATGGGGAGCAGTAAAAAGCCAAGGATCAAGCACCCTATTTGCCCAGGCTTCACATGTGGAAGAAGCTGTTCAAACTATACATAACAAAACAGACTGATTGTGTCAGTGGCTAGAGGAAAGTCAGCACAAATAGAGCTTGGAAAACACACTTATCTCTCAGGATCGCCTGATAGGCAAGGTAAACATTTAGTCCCGGCCCTGGAATGGTGCCTGCTAGCTCTGTGCTTTGCTTCATTTTCCCCTTTATTCATTCATCTTGCTGCCTGCCCCCCTCTGTGTGGCCAGCCCTGGCCTGGCGCTTCATCCCCTGGTATAACTCTCTAGTCTCCCTCAGAGGGGCTCAGTGGGGGAGCAGGAGGAGAGCAGAGACTGAGAAGCTTCACAGAGGAGTCACTTCTCAGCTGGGTTTTCACTGCTGTGTACACCTCATGAGAACCACAAGGGGTGGGGTCGAAGCTCATTCTAAAGAGAAAATGGGATATAAAGCATGTCAAATAGTTTTACCTGAGTAGTTTTAGCTGCTATACGGTCATTTGCATAGTCAAGACTAGCAATGCCTGTCACTGGGTCCCTCCGCTCCAGTACTGACTGAGAGCCTGCCCTGCGCGCTGTGCTGGCCAGGCACTGGTGTACCACAGTCCTGAAGCTGGCTTCCCCATGAAGCTGCCGGAGTTTAGTGTGTGGGATGTTTATTGAGGCATGCCTCTAGGACCAACACCCATGGAAGGGGCAGAAGGATGCAGGATTGGGACAAGGGAGAAATGGAGCTGCCACTAGGCCCAGTAACCTCAACTGGCCTCCTGAGAACTCTGAAGCTGCAATGCCCTTTGGAGTCACCCTGAACTGGGACTGCCCTTGATACCCTCACACTGATCAGTATTGGCAGTGGACCACCGCAGAAAGGAACATGAACCTGGGTGCAGAGAGGCCAGCAGCTGAAGGTGTCTGCCCTCTGATGGCATCAACCACCGCAAGCCCTTCCTGGAGGGGGCTCTGAGCTGTGCATCACAGTGTCCACCACAAGCAGTAAACAGAGCAGACGAAAATCCCTGCCCTCCTGAAGAGGTGGTTCCAGTGGGAGCTATGTTCTAAAGGTGACTGTCAGGATTAAATGAAATAACCGTGAAAAGTACTTGTGATATAAAATGAGTCATAAGAATTACGTATTTGGTCATTCACATGACCAAATATGTATTTCCCAGGTATACTGGTCTTCATCCACAGTTCCTGAAAACACTGGAGAGTCTTAAAGGTAAAACAGGTGTTTTGTCATGTTAATGAGAGACTTTTGAACCCCACCCAAGGGCAAGGTCGAATCAGCCAATGGCCAAAAATCAGCCATGACTGTGCAATGAAACCCCCACAAAAACCCCTGAGCCGAGCTAATCGTGCTCTGCTCTGCTGTGCCCGTCCCTTCCCTTCTCTGCCCCGTGCTGCTCTGCACTCTGCTTTGCTCAATCCTGTTTTTCAGTTGGAGAGAGCTTTTATGCTTAGAGAACCAGAACGCCTCCAAGCTCCATGAGGATAGAAACTCCTGTATTTGGGACCTTGCCCTGTGTCTCTCTTCATAACAGCTATTAGCTTGTATGCTTTACAGTATCCTTTATTAAACTGGTAAATGTAAGTTATTCTCCTGAGTTCTGGGAGCCACTCTAGTAAATTAATTGAACCCAAGGGGGAGGTCATGGGAACCTCCAATCTGTAGCCAGTAGGTCCGAAGCACAGAGAACTAAACTGCATGGGGCTTGCAACCAGAGTCTGGAGTAGAGGGGAGTCTTGTAGGACAGAGCCCTTAACCTGGGGAATCTGGTGCTGTCTCTAGGCAGATAGCATCAAACTGAGTTGAGTTCTCCAACACCCAGTTGGTGTTCAAGAATTGCTTGGTGTTATGTGTAAGAAGACCCCCTCCCACATATTTACACACACTGGAATCAGGTCCAGGAACCCAAACGGAGTTATACTATTATTGCTGCTGTGTATAATATTGTTATTGTTTTATATATACGTGTGTGCGTGTGTGTGTGTGTGTGTGTGTGTGTGTGTGTAGGGAAAAAATACACCACTGCATTTGGTGTCAGAGAAGTGGGATTAGCAGCCTTACAGAGGGCCTGGCATAACAGATTAGGCATGCAAGTAATGACAGCTAAAGTTAGCAAAACAAGTCAGGAATGATCTGAAAGGAACTGAACAGAGGGGACTCAGTGGCCTGCTGGTATCTGGATCCCACCCTTCCTGCTCTCCAGGCTATGAGTCAACAGGCACCCCAACCCCAACAGGGTCCTGCATCTCTTGAGTCTCTGCTCAGTTCTTAAACCCCTGGCAGCAGAGCCCTTCTCACTCCACCCTGGGGGTGGCAGCCAGGCACTGCTGAGGGTTCCTCTCTGCAAGAGGTGGCTGAGATGATGGGCTGGAGAGGGACTGCAGGAAGGGAGCCCTGGTACCTCCAGCTCAGGGAGGTGGGAGTCAGGCAGACCCAGGAGAAGGAATGAGATTTCCTTGGTGCTGGCCTCTCGCAGGTCGCTGGGAAGTCCTGTGGGGAGGAAGGCCACAGGCAGACGGGCCTGCTCCAGCGCCCTCTCTGAGGCATGCCCACCTGCCCTCCCCACAGGTCACCTAATACTGGAATCACCTATTCTGGGAGGGAAAGCCCTTGCCCAGTCTGCAATTCCATTCCTGGAAGGTGCGGTTGGTGGGAGGGAGGCAGCCTAGAGGAGGAAGTGGCAGTCTCAGTCTCTTGTTCCTCCTTTTGTCCTGCCTCCTCTCTTGGCCTATTTCCCTGAGGTAGGTGGGATGAGGATAGGGCCACCAGACCTAATAAATACAAATATAGGTCATCCAGTTAAATTTTAAATTCCAGATAGAGAGCAAATGATGCTTTAGTATAAGTATGTCCCACGTAATTTGGGGGATATGCTTCTACTTTAAAATAATATGTCATTTATCTGAAATTCAGATTTATCCAGCAACCATACATGGGTACAGACCACATGCTAGGGGAAGCCTGTAGCAAATCCAGACAGAACAGGTCTACTGGCAGACTGCCAGGGCCAGAACTAATGATGAAGACAGGGACACATTAGAGGGCACATTCAGTAATCCTATGGCGCCTGGGGAAGGGCTAAAGGAAAGTGAAATGGGACACTGGCCCCAGCCCAACTGATCCCACAGCAGGAAAGAGGCAGGGGCCCTAGGCGGGCTCTGCCTGACTTGAACCAGAACCCTCAGTCAACGTGGCAGGGATATGAGAGCTGAAGAGCAGCCTGGGCCTCAACAGTCCCCCTGGCTCCCCCTGTTGTTCTGGGTGACCTTAGGTGACTCTGGGCAAAGGTCAGGCTGGGCTCAGTGGACTCACTGAGCAGGTGGACTCAGTAGACTGCTCTGGGCATGGTTGGGGTGAAATACTGGGAGTGCCTGCATGTCTGAGGACAGAGGGGGTCTCCACGACGGTCTTGCAGTTTCTACCTTGCAGAGGAACAGGACTGCCACCCCACCACACAGCTGTTACCACAGAAGCGAGCCAGTGTGTCATTCCTTGGAATTCCACCCACCGTTCCCTCTCCCCACCCCCCGGAAATGGCCAGTCTGTCCACATGCATATGTCCTACCCATTCTCCAATGCTTTCTCTGATAAAAGAATCATAATGATAATCATAAACAATTGAATATCTGCTTGGCAGGGCATCTCGTTTCATCTTTACAGCAGCTCTATCAGGTAAATGCTGTCATCACCCCACTTGACAGATGAAGAAACTGAGGCCCAGGCGGACCAAATCACCAAAGGCCTCACTAGCTTGTTGGCAGTGGATGGGGGCTCCAGCTCAGGTCTGTGTGGCCCTGGGGCCTGTGCTCCAAGTGTGTCTGTGTCCGTTTCACAGCCTGTGTTTTGTGGGTCTGGCACTACTATGCCCTGTGTGTCTGCCCTTTGGTCAGGAGTCTGGGAGAAAGAGCACAGACTAGGTTTTTTTCTCCCTGAATCCTCAGTCCCTGGCGTAGAAGAAATCATAGTATTTGTTTGAAGACTGAATCTTGTTTCAAAATGTACCCATACCCCTTCCCAGTCCCCCTGCCCTCTCCCTATCCTCCAGGCCTTGCAGCAGCCAACACTTGGATAACAAAGCCTGCCACGTGTCCAGTGTCAGCCGGATTAGGGCTCAAGGAAGGAACTGGCTTGTGACTTGTCTGTCCGGTAGCTCCCCTCCAAAGGAAGCCGCTCCCTGGGCCTGCCTGGGCCGGAGGTGTCCTTGGTCCCTAGAGGAGATAAAGCCTTTGTCCCCACGCAAATAAACAAACAGAGCTGCTAGACGCGTGTAAATCAAGGTGCAGGAGTAGCACTCCACCCAGAAATAGGCCTGGCCTTCCTCCCAAGGCCACCAGCAGGAGCCTGGGGACAGCTGGGCCCAGTTAGATGAAAGGGCCAAGCTTAGCCCATTTTGCAGATGGATAAACTGAGACCCAGAGCAGAGAAGCCATGCCACCATGTCTGCAAGGCCACCGGCTTCCCGGCTTCTTCCTACCCATAACCCACACATAAGCATGGAACCTCAGGGTCACGCCACACTGGGGCCCCATATAGACACCCCCTGGAGTTCTATGACACAGCGCTTTTACACATTTACACACGTGTGTGTGCATGCTCCACCACCACGACCCATCACTCTGGGCCTCTGAAGACCCTCTTCTCTCTGACCCTTCACCTCCCTTTCCCAACTCCCCGTGCTGCCAGATTAGAGCCACAGGAAGCAGGGCCAGCAAGCGTGCAAACTATGAGCCAAGATGGGAACGTTTGTTTTCCACGAATCATGTAAACATATGAGAGCATCCCAGCTTCCATCCTCATGATAAATCTAAACAGAGGGACAGAGAGATTGCCTGTCAGGGATACAGATGAGCTAGCAGAGCCAGGGTGGGACAGGGAACTGCAGACCCCACCCTGCGCCTGCTCCAGAGGCCTGTCTCCCTCACTGGACTGTGAAAGCTGGCCGTGGGAGTGAGGAGGTACAGCAAGGGGACCCCAGGTTCTGACAGGTTCCCTAACCCCTCTGTGCCTCAAGAGTCCCCATCCATGCAAAAGGTAAAATAGTACCAATGTATAGGATTGTAGTGAGGCCCATGCACAGCGCACAGTGGACATTCAACAAATGTGCATCCTGGTCTGTGCTGGGAGCCAGTGAGCCCAGAGAAGGCAAGTTGGTGGACAAAACTATCAGCCATTGAACCTTCCTCAGGCCTGGCCAGCTGCAGTGAAGTGTGTGTGTGTACATATAATGTACACACCTGATGCAATGACCCAAGGGGCATCAGAATTAAATGAAAGTAGGGTGGGGTGGGGGCGGGGCAAGCTGGGCCCTCTTTCTGAATAAGGGAAGCCCCCTCTGGTGTCTGGGAGATTGTCAGGAGCTAAGGCTGAGCACAAGGTGCTTAGAGCACCTTCTACAGAGGGGGTCTGCCAAAGGTGGGGGGCTACAGAGAGGACGTGACTGTACTCAGAAGAGGAAGCTCTCAAGAGCACATACACTGCAGTAGGGAATGCTCATGAGTCTCAGCCCCCAGGGTGTGGGGGTCAATTCCAGGGGCATTGGCTGCCCACTCTTGTGGTGACTGGACAAGAGTGACCTTGGGGTGAGTCATGCGCTGACAGCACCTTCTCAGCCTGAGGAGCAGGAGGCCTGAACCCTGGGCCCTGGACAAGCTGTGCCCATTCTGGCCCCTGCCCACCAGGGTTATTATTGTGGGGTCAGGTTGACAGGAGGCTCCTCTCCCTTCCGCCTGTGGTTGGAGCAAAAGCCTCCCCTAGTTTCTTGCAAAGAGCTGGAACTTCCTAGTTCTGCAGCCACGTTATTCATTGAATGTTACCTTGAGGGCAGGGACCAAAGTGGGGGTGGGGTAGGGAGAGGGAGGGGCTATTCAGACTTCGGAGAGCCCAGAGCCTGGGCTGGGGTGGGGAGGGTGCAGCTTAGGTCTTAGATCCCCCAGGCTAAAAGGGAACCAAAGAGCACAGGTTCTGTGTCCACCCACACCCTGCTGACACAGGCTGCGTGCTGTTGCCATGGTGACAGTAATACCAACCCCCCACCCTGGCTGTGTGGTCATTGCGGATGGAGGAGAGTACTTATTCCTGGTCACAAAGGGGTAAAGGAAAAGGGAGGCTAGTATGGCAGGGGCAGCCCTTCTCCCTCTCCCCAGGGGCTCTGGTGTATCCGAGGGGAGATGGTTTAGAGGTCGCCTCCCACAGCCAGCTCCCCTCCAGAGAACAGCGGCAAGCCAGGGCTTCCTGCACGGGGCAGTGGAATCCCTCATGTGCCCGCCAAGCTCGCACATCTTCCTGTGGGGAAGCTCACCACTTCTACACAGTCAGCCTGGTAGAGAGGCTCTCTCCACACCAACCTGGCCCTGGCCCCTGGGGGTGCCTCTTCACCCAGAAAAGCCAGCCCTTTTCCCCTCCCCACTTGATGCTCCTCCAGATCCAGCCCCAACCTGGGGTCCCTCAGCCAGCTCCTGGACCCCTGCAGCAGCTTCCCAGCTGCTCCCCTGCTCCTCAGCCCTGTGGCCCCTGCTCCACCACGGAGCCCTTCAGATGCCTCTGCTCACCCTCCACCTCATACCCTCAGCCTCTCCCTCTCCCTTCCACGCATGAGCACGCACCAGCCTCCAGATGGCCTCTCTCCCCAGCCATCTGCAAGCTTTCTGAGGCCCCTTCCCGCTGAGGCCCTCCCTGACCACCTTCGATTCCTCACTTAGCTTTCTCCATAGCATTTACTGCCTTCTGCTACATTGTACGATGTGGCTGTTTTACTTAGAGTGTCTTTTATTAGACTGTGAACTCCCAGAGGGCAGGCATTTTTGTTTGTCTTATTCCCTGCCATATTCCCAGTGCCTAGACCATAAATGCTCAAGAAATAATGACCAAATAAGTGAACCCCGTCTGCCACCTCGCCTCGGCAGCACCGACACATGACCTATACTCCCCACCCCCAGAGAAAAAGGCACCAGCTGGAGTCACACCAGCCCTGCCTGCTGTGGTCCTGCCGTGGCGGCTCCACCCTCCTCTCGTTGCTGAGCCTCAGCTTCCCCTATTATTCAAAGAAAAGGCTAGATTAGCACTTCTCTGGCTTTTACTGTGTTGGAGAGGTGAGCTGCCTCTGAACCTCTCCAAATGGGGTGTGGACAGGGAATTAAAGGTGGGAAAGGGTGCCTGGTGGTCCCTGCTCAGAAGAAATCTCCAGGCCTTCAGCTCCCATCCCGGAATGGAGGTGGGTTGACTGGAATAGTGCAGGGGTAGGTGTCAAAACTAAAAACATACCTGAGAAAGATTTCTCCAAAAATACACACATTTAATCATCAAAATCCTAGCTGGGAAGCCTACGGTCAAGTGTCCAGAAGTGAGCTATCAGAGGAGAAAGCCAGCCATCAGGCAGGTGAGTGTGGGGACCAGCAGGGCGGGCAAGGGTAGCAGCCGGCCTGGGGCCTGGGACTTGAACACCTGGCGCTGCCCCAGGCGCTGCAGGGGCCTGACGTTGGCTGTCATTCTCAGTTTCTGCTCACTGTCGTAGTACAGCTTCTCGGAGAATGCAAGGATCTGTGGAAAGGACGTGATTCAGCAGGGAGGCGGGCAGCAGGTGGAGCTGCACTCCCGGTGCATGACCCCAGGCCGGTCACCTTGCCTGTCTGAGTTCTCATTACTAAAGGGGCTCAGAATCCAAACTTCTCAGGTTTTTGTGCTAATGAAAAGAATAAGGGATGTAAAGTGCTTGGCAATTGTGGGCTCTCAGTTCCCATTAGCTTCCCTTAGCTATGTGGACTCGGAGCTCATGGTTTTGAAAGCCTGTTATTAAGAATACTATTATCACTATTGTTCTACAACAGTGGTTGTCAAATTTGATGCATTAGACCCCTGGGGGTCTTGCTGGACCACAGATTGCTGGGCTCCACTGACAGCTTCTGATTTAGTAGGACTAGGGTGAGGCCCAAGAAGCAGAATGTCTAGCAAGTTCCCAGATGATACTGATGCCACTGGTGCAGAAACCACTCTTTGAGAACTACTGTTCTGGAATTAAAGTACCACAAAGATAGGGGTTTAGATCTTTTTGGTTCTCTGCTGTGTCCCTGGAGCCTACATGTTACAAGGACTTGAGTACATTTGTTGAATGAATGCGCTGTTCTCCTACTGTGGCTACACCAACCCTCTCTCAGCTGTGCCTGGCCCTCCCCTAGGCTGAACCCTCTCCCCAGGCTCCCTGCCCTCAGCTAACCAACTCCCACCTACTTCCCAGGGCTCAGCCTAGATGCCTCCTCAGACTGCCCCTGCCATGGCCTCCCTCTAGCCCTCTAGCCAGGTGTGGGGTAGCCAGGACCTTTCTTGTCTGTCTCCCCAGGGAGGGTCTGTAGATTCAACCAACAGAACCTCAGCTTCCTGGGGTGCCCCACCCCAACTCCAGCCCAGGGGACCTCAAGGGGGATCTAGAGGGTTCATTCCAGGGAAGCAGGGGAGTGGACCCCAGGTACCTGGTCCTTGTGGAGCTGAATGGGCTCTTTGAACACAGTCCAGATGACCATCTCCTCACAGCCCGGTGTGGTGAGTGAGCCCAGGTAGCGGAAGTAGTGCCTCAGTTTCCCCTCCTTGGGGAGCAGATCTAACAGACTGATGTTCTTTTTCATCACAGTGCTCATCTCTGGGGTCGGGGTACAGAAGATACTATTAATTGGTGGGGGAAGAAGGGGTTCTCTCAGGCTCTGATCCCCACTCACACACCTCACTCTGAGAGCCCAGGCTGCCCACCACCCTGGCCCTTCCTTAGCAGGAAGAGCATCCATCCTCCACCCAGCCCAGCCCCCCCTCTTGGCCACCCTGACCCACCAGGTCTGGGGATATCAGACAGAGCCTCTACCAGGGGCTGGAAGCCATCGTTCTTGGGTCCTTCCTGGAAGGGAGGGAAGGGGCTTGAGAGGGGCTTGTGGGGAGCTGGCAGTGACCAGTTCATTCTTCTGGTCTGGGGTGAGGAGATCAGGCAGGTTCTGGGCCTGAAGCCCTGAGAGGCTCTAGGCTCCCCAACTGGGGGTGTACAAGTCATGAGGAAGCAGAGGGGAAGTCAGGCAGCCCCTCAGAGCCTGGGGGAAGCAGGTCCCACCTCCACCAGGAAGGCCAGCACCGCAATCTCGTCTTTGGGGTCCTGGTTCGCTTTCTCACTCCTCGATATCCCCTTCTCTTTCTCATGTACTATGTGCATCTGGTCAGGGTGAGAGGGACGGAGAGGGGACCTATGAGGGGGCTGGGCTTGAGGTACACCCAAGCCCAGACAAGGCTCCAGCCCAGGAAGGGGCCCTCACCTCCATGGCAGAGCGGTGTCCATCGAGGCTGTGCTCCGAGCCCTCATCCAGCTGCTCAGACCAGTGCAGATGCAGCTGCTGGGCCTGGTACTGGGCTGCCAGCCCTCCTTCAGCAATCCTGGCCTCATCCCCCAGCAACACCATCACTGCAGGGCACAGGAGGGGGCAGAGCCCTTGCACTCGCCTCCCCTGCCCTCTTCCAGCTGCTGTGTCCCCTCTCCACCCAAGTAGGGCCTCACCTCCTACCTCCCACCTTCCATGGGTTACAGCCCTGGGCCCAAGGCACAGGACGGGTGGTACAGTCCCCGCACCCCCACCTACCTGTCCCCAGCCCCACCTGGCCTCCCTGTCTCCTCTTCCTCTGCATACCCTCCACTGTCCCCAGCAAGCAACTCAGCCTAGCCCTGCCCTGCTTCAACCCCCTCAGTGGTGTCCTTGTGTTCTCAGGGGAATGTCCCAACCCCTCAGCCCTGGGTGACCTGCCCTGGCCCACCTTGACTGACCCTGGGTTGGTCTGGCTTCTCCCAGCTTCACTCTCTGTTCCCTATCCATGCAGAGCCATGCCAGTTCCCTGAACACCCCAAGCTGTTTCACGCCTCTGTGCCTTTGTACATGTTCCTTCTTCCTGGAACGGGTCCCCCTCCCCCAGCTCCAGACTGTTCTGATGAAAGTATTGGAAATAGAGCCAGAGTGTTCCCACCTTGCCAAAGCCCTTCCTGCTTCCACCCACCCTGTCCTCAGTGGGCTTTTCAGCCCCTCCCCAGCAAAGGTGGGCCTGGGCCCTACTCCCAGGAGGAGCCCACCCCTCCCAGTCCTCGGGGAACTCAGGGTCCCTGGACCACATGCCCAAACCTGCCCAGAGCCTCTGTCTCACCCACCCGAGACCCACCTGAGTGCCCATTGTTTTTGATGGTCCACTTTCGCTTCTTGTTATAGCCAGAGAAGGAGAAGGGTCCCAGATCTTTATCCACCAGTGCCTTGGTGGTGATGATGTTAACAGGGGACTGGTGGTCCTTCTGGCAGTCTCCGCCCCACTCGGCTGGCCCTGAGCAGGAAGGGAGGGCCAGCTGAGTCTGGAGCACCTGGCACAGGGTATGGCCTCCTCCGTCCCACTTAGTTCGGCCAAACGCCCAGAGCACGTGCTGTAGGCTGGCAGGCAGTGGGCAGGGGTCCTCTGCACAGAATTCTGCCTCCCCCTCCCAGGCCTCCTTTTTAGATACCCCCACACTCACTCACAGTCACTCATGCACAAAGCCAGTGGTTTGGCAGTGGCATGGGACAGGGAGGAAATAGGATGGCCAGTAGGAGACAACTTCATCCTGCTGGTCTAGGAAAGCAGAACTGGGTGACAGCCTGCTTCCTGGGGTGCGATCAAGTTTGGGAGTAGTGCTTGGAAGCCATGGAGAGTCCCTGGGACACCTCAACTGGACACTGGCATGATCTGAGGCTGGGAGTGGGGAAGTAACCCCTGAGGTGCCCAGTTCCCGGCTCTGGTTCCAGATGGGTGTACAGTGTGGCAGCACCGTCCAGTCACTGCGACACAGTGGAGGCAGGAAGAATGCAGAGTCCGGAGAAACTGGTCAGCATTTGAACAAAAAGGGCAATGGATGCTCTGCCAGGCAGAGTGTCACTGGAATAGAACCAACTGTCTGTTCTGTTGTAAGAAAGACCAAAAGCTGTATCCCTCCATTTGCTGCTGCTGTGATTTAATAGAGGACTTACCCTCTTGGTGACAGGGACAGAAAGTGCCAGGGAAGACTCAAGTCGCTCTACAGTCCCCACCCCTGAGTACCAGGGGAGTGTGTGTGTGAAGTGCTGATATCTGACTGGGGGAGCCACCATTACCCCTCATCCTTCCCTCCCTCCCTGGGTCTCTGTTCCTGCAGGCTTGTCCCCAAGACACTGCACTTACCCAAGCAGGTGTGCCCAGAGGCCTTGGCTTGGATCTCGTAGCACCAGTGTGACTCTGGAGCAGAGAAAGGAAGGACGTGAGGCCTGTGGCAGTGTATCTATGCACACATACCTCTCTAACACACGAGAACTGTGTGCAGACACGCCACATCGTGTGTGTGCTGTGTGTGTACATGGTGGACCAGAGGCTGGGGATATCCCTGGAGTTGGAGCCACCCTTGGGTTAGGATGGAGTGTTCCTGGGGTCTGGGCCAGAGGCCCAGGGGAAGGACGCTTTAGAAGAAAATATAGGGCTGGGGGAAGGAGGTGGTAGAAGTAGCCAGGCCCCAGTGTCCCTGACCCATGGCTGGTCAACTGGCCATTTTGCCCAGGGCACTGATCCTCAGGTAGGGCAGGGCCAAACAGCCACCAGGCCTGTGGGGCCCTTTGAGACAGGCAGTGGGCAGCGCCACCCGAGGGGCTGGCCTCAACTCTCCATCTGTTGCTTATCAGCCTCCTCCTTCCTCTTTGCATCCTCCACCCCAAACACGAAGGGAAGCTTCGGTGAGAGGAGAGAGGGGGATTAGGCTGGTCTCCCTCCTGAGACAATGGAGCTGGGTTCAGCCTGGCTGCCTTCCCAGAGTTGAGCTGGGGTGATGGAGATTAGGCTAGCTCCCCGCCGGTACACACCCTCTTGTGTTACTAAGACCCATTCTTGGCTAAACTCTCACAGCCCTCATGGAGGAAAGCAGCCAGCTCATTTCCCCTGTCCCTGCACCCTACAGTCCTGGTGTTTAGGGCCCAATAGACGTAGGTTCCAGTCCCAGCTCTGCCTCAGGGTAGCAGAACCAGCATGTCTGAAGAAAGGCTGCACCACGCGCGTACCACACGAATGCAAGCTGTTAACAATGGTGGACACTGCAGAGGCAGAGGGGCACATGGGTTCCCTCTAAAACTAAAACTGCTCTAAAATTAAAGTCTATTGATAAAAAAAAAAGGCTACCCCAGCAGGGTGGACAAAGCATTTGATCCAGAGCTGGAATTCTGTCTGGACCCCTTAGGAGCTGTGGGTTTAGGGGCAAGTCATTTAATCTCTCTGAGCCTCCATTTTATCATCCGTAGAATGGAAGTAATCCCACATCACCAGGCTGGGGGGAGGATTAAATGAGAGGGTGTAGAGTGTTCCAGGCAGCCTGGAACTTAGGCCCTCCCTTCCCTCCCTCGGCCTCCCCAGTTCTGGCCTCCTGTCAGTGTGCTGATGGCCAAAGCCACGGAGGCGCACAGAGGAAAGAACTCAAGGATGAGCAAGTCCCTGTGAAAAGCACAGCTTCCTGCTCAGTGTGAGCTGAGGCCTCTGAGCCCCAGCACACCCCACCCTTATTGCCTGGGCCCCACCTCCTCTGAGGTCCCTGGAATGGGACAGGGTGAGGAGGGAGCCATGAAAGGTCAGGTCTCTGCAGGGAGTGGGAGGAAGAGTTTAAGGCCAAGAGAGTGAGCACATGCACAGAAAACGGGGTGCCCTCTCACTCTGGGCCCCTCAGAGCCAGCTTGGTTTTTGAGCTTCCCAGCTCTGGATCAAATGCTTTGCCTACCCTGTTGCCACGGCTTCTTTCAGAGATGGACAGTCTCCGCAGTGCCTTCCCCATGGCAGTTTATCCCCTGCCCTGGACATCCTCCACTGCGACTGGGACAACCCCACGTGGGTCAACTTGGCAAGGGGCAGTGACCACTTCCCACCCAGGCCTCTCTCTGCAGGCGAGCAGAGTTCTGAATCCAGAGCCTCTTCACCTGGCTCCAGTCCTGGCTCGGCAGCTCGCTCAATCTCTACAGGAGAATTCATTCACTTTCCCGAGCCCTCCATTCCCCCTCAGGCAGAAGGAGCTGCCACCCTCTCTCAGGGCCAGTGTCAGAGGAGACAATGGATGAGAGTCGTCTGCATCCCCGACAGACTCCATTATGGTCCCCCTGTGTCTTCACCTCTCAGAGGTCCTAGAGGCCAAAGGGGCCTCCGAGGTCACCACTCTGAACTGCTGGCCCATAGGGAAGCCTTGCCTAAGCCAGAGTTCTGGGGAATCAGCTCTAAAGGGTGGAACCCCTTTTCTGCCTCCACAGGGCTTATCTGGTCCAGACTGAGCTTTTCCTAGGAATTTGGCCTTCCCTAGCCACAGCTGGGTTTGTAATGGTGACCTCTGATCCACTGTCGTAATCATAGAGACTTTTGACTTGCTTGGCTGAATGCTCGTGTACCTATCCTCTTCAGGAGGCAGGAGCCAGGGAAACATAATGTTGATGTGGCCAAGAGCAGGAGTTAGGGCTGTGTCAGGAGTAGCCTTCTGGCTTTCAGGCAAGAGGTGGCAGGGTCATAAACCAGCTTGGGTTCCTGAAGTTGTTAATGAGAGAGCTGTCCTTTGCAGATAATTATCAGCCTGCTATCTCAGGCTACCTCCAGGAGGGCCTGGGAAGGCAAGGGGCTCCCTATAGGTGTTGGCTCCAAGCTCCAGACTCTACCTCGATCACCCTGCCCTGACCAGAGACAGAGTGAAAGACCTAGAATCATTGCCAATCACCCAGCCACTGTCCCCCACTTTTGACCTACCCACCACACCATTCTTTGAGATGACTGAAAAAGCTCTCTTTTTCAGCAAGATGGACCTTGCTCACCCCACCCTCCCACTCTGGGTGGCAGGGAGGAAACCTGAAAACCAGCTCAGCAAAACCAAGTATGTCCTGGGCAAAGTCTGCAGGCCAGGGGTCTGGGGCCCTGAAGAGGCCTACAGTCCTCTCCCCTTCTCCTCTCTGCATGGCCCCAGATGATCTGGGGACTTTGAATGTGCAGCCCGGTCACTGTCCTGCCTCAAGTTCCCCAGGAGATGGCATGCAGGAAGGCAGGTCCCTTGGCAGTTTCCAGTCAGAAAGCCACAGAACTTAAGGGAGCACAGGTGGTGTGAGGGGGCGGCTGAGCTAGATCCTGGCTGGCTGGCCCCAGGCACATGGTGGAGCTGCCAAGGCATTCAGAGCCCCCCATGCACACATAGCACCCACTGTACTAAGCACTTACACCCACTATTTTATTTGAATCCTTGAAACAACATCTGAAATCAGAATGACTTTCCCTAGTAACCCTAGTTTTATAAATGAGAAGACTAACGTTGCTTCACTCACCAGCTAAAAGCGGCTGAACTAAAATCGCGAAGCGTTTTTCTTTCTACTAAGCCCACTGCCTAAATAGGTTTCAGTGCCCAACCTCATAAATAAAATATTTCACATCCTGCCTTTTCTCTTTCCTCTCCCCCAGGAAGACACCAGGTCATCCTACGAGGAGTAAGGGGAGGTTTCGACCAGCAACGTCTCACACACCTGCGACAGTCACACACTCTCCTCTGCTGTCGATGGCGCCCTTACTCCCTCAACGCCACGACTCCAAGGGAGGGGAATCCAGCTTGGGAGAGGATTGCGGGCCGGGCCCCAGGGACCATCTGAAGGGACAGCTTAGCCCGGGGCTAGCAAGTGGGGCTTCCTGGGAAGGAGCTGGTTCCCTGTGGGGTCACCAAGAAGGCGCCTCCTGGATCCCTGTGCCCTGCGCCTGGAAGCACCTTCGCCTCCTTATCAAATATTAACACTCCTCCCCTGCCACCTCTCACCTAGGCGAATAATTAAGAGCTCTGCCTCACCATTAATCTTTAAACGAAAATCACCCTGGCCGGAAAGACCGGCTCAGCGGGGACCTTGGTTTTCGGGTGCCCCCCGCCAGGCTCCCAATAGAGCGCTGGGGGCTGAGAAGATGAAGGAAGCTGACAGCCTCCGGGACGAGAAAACCTGGGCAGGAAGCGGGGATGCGAGGCCCCACCACACCCAACTTGTTGCCCTTGCTCGGCGGGGGCTGCCACCCAGCACAGAGCCCCGGCCGGCGGGACAGCGACCCACGGCCAGGCAGAAAGTGCAGAAACGGCGTGAAACTCGGCAGGGCGAGGAACTGAGGCGGGTCGGAGAAGCATCCTTAGCCCCGACTCGCACACCCGCCTCGCGCGGGGTCGGACCGCACGTGGCCGGCAGTGGGCCCCAGAGCTGCGTACCGCGTCCGCCCGCCCCCTCTCCGCTGCCCGCGCACTCGCTCCAGGACCACCGCGCAGCCCGTGCGCCCGCACCGCCCGCCCGCGCAGCCTCGGCGGGGTCCGCGGGGCTGGGGACGCAGAGGGACCCCCCACCAGGGAGCGGCCTGGGGTCAAAGCCGGGAGGGCGTTCACCTGCGCGGGCCAGGGTCCGGGCAGTGGCGAGGGCCAGGAGCGCCGGCAGCAGCCGCATCGTGCGCGGGAGCCGAGACGCCGCCAAGCCGAGGAAGGCGCACCAGGGAGACCGCCGGGGCTGCGGCGATTGTGCGGGCCAGGGGTTTTATAGCGGAGCCGCGATGGGAGGGAGCCCCGACAACAGGATGCGGGTGGCGGCTCCTCCCCCTGGCGGAGCCTCCCCTCCCCTCCCCACGTCCCTGGTGTGAAATCCTGGCTCCCCACCCCTTGCGCTCCCCACCCGCTGCCGGGCCACCTTTTGCCTTGTGTGCGAGGCTCCCTCACCCACTCCGCGTCCTCTCTGCTCAGAGGCGGCGCCCTCTCCCCATCCCCCACCCCATCCCACACCTGGTCTCTGGTTTGGGAACAGGATAGTGACATCGCAAGGGACTTAATGCACGCAAGGGTGGTGCCACGGATTCCTTACTCGGGTTATTTTGGCGCGGACCACTGCACAGCCCTCTCGCCTAGGGAGCAGCCCGCCAGGGTCTTGGAATGTTCTTGGGTTTAGGGGGTCCTGAGGGGTGGTTGCGGGGAGATAGCCTCGCAGGGATGCCTGGGTTGAGGAATGCGTGCTTGTGTTTGCTATATGGGGTGCTCCTGGAAAGTGCGAGCGTCCTTCTCTCAGGCCGTGGTCGCTGCTGCTCTGGGTCTCATCTGTTTCTGTCTCCTCCCAGGCTGCCCCACATTTAATAAGCAGATCAAAGAGCCTTCTTCCAACTGGAGTGAAGATGTCCCTCAGCTGCTGTGTGAATATTCATGTGGTGGCCAGAGCAGGGGTGCTGAGCCCTCAGAATGGAGAAATGGAGTGCAAAGTGGCTCATTGAGAGAGAAAACTTTCAGGGTCAGAGGGGACTTGCTGAGTCCTGCTGTGACTAGGGTCTGAACTGACTGTAGTTCTCTCATCTGCCAGGCTCTTCAGAGGAGTCCAGGGAAAATTCTCCTGGAGCAGGTCCTAGCGCTTGGGGAAATGCGTCTGCATGCCCCCATGAGAAGAAGCCCTTGTCTCAGGAGGAGAGCTTCTCCTCTGGGCTCTGGCCCCCTGCTGCTATGCTTCCAGACTCCATGGCTGTAAGTACTGTGCGTCACCCATGGGATGGGGGCTTCCGCGGGAGTTTGGGAAGCTCAAACTTGGGTGGGGAAGAGGGACAGGGAATCAGGCCCTCTCCATCAACAGGAAGCCCCGGTGTTCTGGTCTAGTCAAGTGCTTCCCCATCCGCTGCCAGCCTCTCAGCCCCCACTAGCCTTTGAACCTAGGCTACAGACCTCTGCAGAGGGACTGCCTCCCCCAGAACTATCCAGGCAGAGGGGCTTCCTCCTTGGTTAGAGTCCTGGCTGACTCCCCCACCCCACCCCAGGTTCCCCACCCCTTCTGGCCCAGGATCACACAGCTTCAAGGAGCAGCTTTGATCCTACAGGGGCTGAAGGGGAGGGGGCATCCACATCGGGCTTAGGGACCTATTGTCTACACGGGTTTTGAATTTGATCACCAGTCTGGGGCAGTCTGGGAGGGTTCCACAACCCCAGGGCCTTTTCTGGGGAGTGGATTTGTGTTCACAGAACTAGAAGAATTTATCTTTCATGACTGGAGAATGGAGTGGGGAGGAAGCCTGTTCCTGGGAACGAAATCTGCTTCAGGGGAGGTCCCTGTGACCCCAGGGCAGCCCCCTGATAGGCAGGAGAGAGACTTGGAAACCTTTGGTGGAGTTAAGGGGCTATTGATCAATGACCTTTGGACCCACCTCAAAGTGAGAGAGGAGTGTGGGAGGGGGAGCTGGCCTCTCTGTTAGTTGGCCCCTGGTATGTTTTGGGGCCAGAAAGATGGGGGAGGAGAATTGGGTCCTGTTTGGAGTGTTGCCTCTGAGGTTAAGGGAGCTGGGGGTGGGGAGGAGGTTAAGATGGGCATCCTCATAAATGCAACTTAGTCACTGGCACCAGAGATGCTGCACATGTGCTGTTTGGGAAGGCAGGGGTGGCTCCTGCTTTATTCCTCATTTCTGATTCCAGAGTCACACAGTGCACATGGTCTCCCCACTCCTGGTCTTAACATTCTCACTCTTATCACCCAGCCAGACCCCTGTCCTGCCCTGCTATAAACTAGTCACTGACTTGCCAGCAGTCCCAGCCTCCCTGGAGGGGATGAGGCCCTCCTATGGGAAGGGAACATTAGAGCAGGGATGGGCTCTGACATATCTCAGTGACTTACAGGGCCCATAAAGCTGCCTGCCCAGGCCCAGCCGCCCGAGCCCTGCCTCATCCTCCTTCCTCTTACTCTGCACAGTGTCCCTGAGTGTCCTGCATTGCAGTTCCGGCGCATCCTCTAACTCAGGGCATGAACTTGGGCAACTTTTCTACTCCTTTTTGATTACAACTTCCTCATCTATAAAGTGGGGATGCTAATCTCTGCCCTGCTGACCTCTGACAATAAACAATTATTGGGAACCTGCTGTGAGCCAGCACTTGCCCAGCCCAGACTTTCACAACCGGCCTCATGGTGCCTGGGTGTAGTGCCTGGCCCGTTGCGGATGTGGAGATGAATCACAGGTCTCCTCCTCTGGGGCTTCTCACACGCATGGCACTGTCTGGAACAGGACGGAGGTAGTGGGAAAGCTCGAGGGCTTTGAGGTCAGACAACCCTGGCGTCACTTCTGGCTCTACCCACTTGCTTTGTGATGTCAGCCAGGCCTCGGTTTCCCTCATTTGTAAAATGAAAATCATACACCTATCTTCCTCATATGTTGCTGTGAGAATTCAACCTGAAGAGGACTGTGCCAGGGCTGGCCAATTAGCACAGGTCACCGTGACCTCTAAGTGGAGGTCCCTTTACCTGGATTAAACCCTACCCAAGGCAGGTGTGCATGTGTCAAGGGCAGGTGGGGGAGGGACCCTGAGCTAGGCTCTGGGAGGGGCCCTGGCCCTGGCACATCCGAGCTTTTCCTGGACTCCCAAGACCTGGGGAGGGATGAGCAAAGCTGAGTGGCAAGGCGGGGAGCTCCAGCTGAATGGTCCCAGCAATGTAAGATTTGAATTCAGGCCCTCCTGGGGCTCTGATTGGCATGGGGTGGAGACACAAAGGAGCAGGACTCTGAACTTCTGGTGTCCCTAGGTCATAGGAAGGCCAGGTACATACCCCTACACAGAAAACTGCCTGCTGTGTTCAAGGGTGAGGTGGGCAGATAGCATATACAACAGAAGCTGAGAAAGGGCTTTGGAGCAGCACTACCCTGGGCTCACATCCCACCCCCAGGGCTCACCCTTCACCTCTCTCAGCCTCAGTGTCCAGATCAGGAAAATGGGGACAAAGACAGCACCTTTCTCACCTGGGAATGGTTAGGACTCAACTAGATGATGTGGGGAGAGGGCCTGGTAGAGAGGTTCAGGCAAGCAGTAAGTGCTCAGTAAACCCGAGCTATCATTACTAGCTGTTCAGGGCAACAATGGCATATGCTCCTGGTATTACAGAGCCCAGAGGAGGGGCACCTAACCCAGCCAGTGAGCGGGAAATTGGGGAAGGCCCCCAGGAGGAGATGAGACCCGAACTGAGTAGTAGAAGACAAGTAGATGTTAACCCTGAAAGGAAAGGGAGATCAGGCAGAGGAAACAGTAAGAAAAGCCATAGATAGGAGTATTCTTCCACTAGGGGGAGGTATCAGCAAACAAACCCCACAGGCTGAAGGGGCTGTAAGACCAGAGAAAGAGGCTGATGCGTGCAGCTTGAATTCCATAGAGGTTTATTGAGGGGCTCTTACCTACAGAAGCTTGCCCTGGGCAGCTGCAGGATGCATAGATCTCCCCCTGCTTTGTGTTTAGGAAGGCTAGTTTATAGAGGCAAGGGGGAAGGGTCTACGCAGGACAGGGCAACCACTTCATGTGCAATGGGACAGGGGCTGACCTTGGAGTGTTATTGCTGAATGGGGTGAGGAATCTTGCCCCAGGGAACAATGTTAATTGTTTCTCTCTGGATGTTATCTCAGGAGTACTTGGGTGTCAGAGAAAGGGAGTGTAAAGGTGATTCAACAGTCAGCTGAATTTGACAAGATGGTATTATTGCTCTCACTCACAAACAAGCATCCAGTGAGAGGTGAGACTCTAAGACCGGGACTGGAGAGGTGTTAGGTCTTGTTTGTTGGGATTAGAAGGTTGGACTGATCTTTTCTTTGATGAGGGGTGAATATCAAGATCCTGATTTATAGGCCAGGAAGTATCCTCAGAGAGGGCCCCTACCCTAGAAAGAGCCAGGGATTCTCAACTACTTCTTTGAGTTACAGAAGAAGAAGAAATGACCACCAGAGTTGCCCAGCATGAAAAGAGGGGAGCTGGGATTTGAACCCTAGCCTCCTGCCCACCCCCATGCTCTTTCCATGCATTCTCGTCCCCCTAAGACATGCACACACCTCCCTCCCACTGGGACTGCCAGCCTCATCTCCCCTTGCTTTCTCCATCCTCAGAGTGCCTTTGATTAGCAGATGATTCAGGGAAAAGTTCACGGAGACTCCAGCTTTCATGTTCCTTGATGTTGAGATTAAACCGTGTGCAGAACAAGGTTTAATCAATAGCCTGGGTGCCACCACTCCCCAGCCTGGATCATGCCATATTCTAGCAAAGACAAGAAAGCTTCCTTTCTGCCAGCATCTGTGGAAGCAATTTCCCTCATCTTCAAACTTACCTTATTTTTCTGGTCTGTAGAGAGAATCCTGGAGAAGCAGAAAGAGGGCAACAAAGAGAGAGATGGGGGCTGTCATGGGGGCAGGGTAGGGGCCTCCTTAGAATGGGTAGGTGGAAACTTCTGTACCCTGAACATTTTGAAATAATAACAGCATAAGAAGTGTGGGATAATCCAGCAATGGAGATGACATATGATCTGTTCCCGCCCTGCAGAGAGTTCAGGAACACCCGCCCCTGGCTGCCCCCTCCCTCTCAGCGTCTCAGCCACAGGGGCCCAGGCTCACACCAGCAGGAGCTGGGGGCCGAGTTTCTGTGGACTTTCCAAGTGTGTTCGTTTACATTCTGGTTTTGTGGTGGAAGGACCCCTAAAGAGGGTGATGAGGTTGGAACCTGGTGGGGAGAAAAAGGCAGGCTTGGGGGAAAAGGGACCATTGCCTCCTCTTTAATACTGTGGGAACATGAAGAGAACAGGCTCACTCAGGTGTGTGT